TGTCAGGAAGTTCTTACTAATGTTTTGGTGGAATTCATTTTCCTACAATTAGAATCCATTGCTCCATGTCCTGGTTTCTAGAGCAGCAGAAAACAAGCTTGCCCCCTTCCTCAATATGACATCCTTTCAAAAGTCCCTGCAGACAATCTCAGGAAATGTTGAACTCCAGCCCATAGGATGAATATGGATTCAGGGCCCTTCCACACAACCCTGTATCACAGAATATCAAGGCAGAAAATCCCACATTATCTGAGTTGGACTCGGATAACCCAATTCAAAACAGATATTGTGGGTTTTTCTGCCTTGATATTCTGGGATGCATGACTGTGTGGAAGGGCCCTCAGTTTGGCTCCTTGTCAGTACTGTTTGTAGCTATTGGTGATGTCTATATATCGGCTCCAGCGATGTATTCAGTATCCTAGATAGACAGGTATTCCTCTGTCCTGCTGGTGGGCTTCCCCAAATGATGTAGGGCCCTTCCACGCAGCTATATAACCCAGAATAACAAGTCCCTTTGCTACTTCTGACAGCAAGCTGTCTCAGGCTAGCCTCAACCGAAGGAACACAAGCAGGGTACTCTCAGGGTCCTTCCACACAGCTATATAACCCAATATCTTCTTTGAACTGGGTTATCTGAGTCCACATTGCCATATATCCCTGTTCAAAGCAGAAATTGTGGGATTTTATTCAGCTGTGGCTATAGTTAGTTATCTGCTATGATAAAGGAATAACAGGCCTTTGATCTGAGTCAGTAGGGCTCTTCATACGATTTTTTAAGCAAAGGATGCTAAATGTATTGGTCACAGAGGAAAATCCTTTTGATCATTTATGAAAACCATCTCACATACACATGCACACTCTGTAATGTCCTAGTTTCAACATGTTATATAAGTGCTCAGCTTCTACTATGACATGACCCTGATATATAGTAGAACTTGGCATCTCATGAAGAGTTAGGACTGGGCAGCCAAGGTACGCCTCTTACTTGTGATCTGACCCCAAAGTTACTCCCAAAATTCAAAATCTACAAAAGAGCAATACTTTCATTGAATGGATCTTTATAAACCACATCGCCACTAAGTTTGCAGATTTATTTTTAACAGCCTTATACAACGAATATCAGGTGTTGTAGGTTATATTTCACCACCTCTGAGTATTCCTTGCCTAAGAAAAGAGTATAAAATAAATGGGTTACCATAAATAAGTCAATAGGCAACTTGAAGGGTTGTGTATACACACACATATTAGATAGTTTACAAAATGACTAGATGTTTTAGAGGAGTTTTTAATATATCAAAGATCTGGTATTGGTTGTATTTTTCTACCTGGCTACTCTCTGAATGTGTTTCCAAGAACTGAAACTGCTCGACACTGTTGGAAAGTGTATGTGTCTGTACAAATCTAGTTCTTCACACTTGCCTCCAGCAGACAAGACTTCTTTCTCCCACCCTGGACATTCCACAGATATATAAACCCCACTTGCCTAGTCTCCAACAGACCTTAGAACTGGGTTGTTGTAGGTTTTTTCAGGCTATATGGCCATGTTCTAGAGGCATTCTCTCCTGATGTTTCGCCTGCATCTATGGCAAGCATCCTCAGAGGTAGTGAGGTCTGTTGGAACTAGGAAAATGGGTTTCCTCTGAGGATGCTTGCCATAGATGCAGGCAAAACATCAGGAGAGAATGCCTCTAGAACATGGCCATATAGCCCGAAAAAACCTACAACAACCTAGTGATTCCGGCCATGAAAGCCTTTGACAAGACCTTAGAACCTCTGAGGATGCCTGCCATAGAAGTGGGTGAAATGTCAGGAGATAATGCTTCTGGAACATGGCCATACAGCCTGGAAAACTCACAGCAAACTCACAGCCTGAAAGGCTTTGATATCACAATCTAGTTCTTGATACTATTTTGGATTATATACCAGTAATAAGAGCACTGATCCACAGTATGCTGGCTACATCGAGGTTTTTTTTTTAAACAAACCAGGTGAATTATTAGTAAACACTGGAAATCTAACATTCCCTTTAAATCTACATAAATGTTATTTGGCAGCCAAGAAACAAGTAGCCTGGAAAATGAGAGACACAGTGGCTCTTTGAGTACCAAATACTGTATACTTATATTCAAGTATAATCCTAGATTTTCAGCACATTTTTAATGCTGAAAAAGGTCCCCTCGACTTATACTCGAGTGAGGGTACTGGTGGGAAGGTGTGGGGCTGAAAGAAGCACTTTGCAGGGCTTCTACCAGCTGCTGGCCTTCTCCCCTTTCGGCACAGCAATTTAGTTGGATCTCTGTGCCTAGAGAGGAGGAAAGGAAGGCATGCGACCTCTCCTCTCAGCACAGCTGTGGATTGCTTTGCTGAGAGGAGAAGCTGTATGTCACAATTAATGCAATTTTATTGGTATCTATTTTTATTTTGAAACTTACCAGTAGCTGCTGCATTTCCCACCCTTGGCTTATACTCAAGTCAGTAAGTTTTCCCAGTTTTTTGTGGTAAAATTAGGTGCCTCGGCTTATATTCGGGTTGTCTTATACTCGAGAATATACGATACCTTCCACACCACTAAATCAGGGTAGACAATTGTGGCCTTCTAGATTATGAAAAGCTCCCATAATCCTTCACTGGCTAGGGCTGATGGTAGCCACAATGTATCAACATTTATAGGCCCGCACTTTGGCGACCCCTGTTCTCAATGTTTTGGCCATGCTAAAGTTGAGATTGAATGTGCTGTCAATTGCTGGATCCCAAAAAATGGGTGGATGGTTTAAAAAGAACAGAATAACTTCCACGCAGGCATGTAGCCGGGGGGGGGCCCCAAATTCTGATGGTGGTCTGCAAGAAGGCCTTACTGGTACATTATTTAAATTGTTATGTTTATTCATATCATGATCTGATCACCATGCTCGATATATCCCATATGCATGGGGGTATTGGGGTAACGATACAAAAGGTTTGCTAGGGCAGACCCTCTTTCACTCAGACTCAGCCCCCCCCCCCGAACCAAACTCAGCCCCCCCCCCTCCCCAAACAAAATCCTGGCTACGGGCCTGCTTCCACGGTTTTCTTTTACTTTTTTAAAAGCAGGATTTTAATGTATAGGGGAAAGAGTTCTTTTATTTTCTTGTGATGTTTAGCTTTTAACACTTTTCTCTGTTTTGAAACTGATTTCAAAATGAAGATGAACTGATTTGCATCATTTTATGTTTTCACTGCAAATATTACAGTGATCGGAAACTGCCTGGCGTGCTGTTGTACTGTAAACCTGAGTTTACAAAACATTTCATGTTGGTGAGGCACCTATAATTTTGTGAGTTATTCAGTTTTACTGGAAACCCAGAGGTTAAACCAACCCCTTATAAGAGATATGGACAGCCACAGTGGTGCAATGGGTTAAATCCTTGTGCCAGCTGAACTGCTGACCTGAGGGTCGGTGGTTCGAATATGCAAGACAGGGTGAGCTCCTGTCTATCAGCTCCAGCTTCCCATGCAGGGACATGAGAGAAGCCTCCCACAGGATGGCATTCCCTGGGCAAAGTCCCTAGAAACGACCAATTCTCTCACACCAGAAGCGACTTGCAGTTTCTCAAGTTGCTTCTGACACACACAAAAAAACCATATGTAAATTGCAATAACGACATGCATGGGGACATGGCATAACTCATGAAAATCTTTCCTTTCTATTTTGAAATGTAGATTATCATGGATTGCTTATTTCATATAAACACAGAGGTATTTGTAAAACAGAGCCCCCGGTGGCGCAGTGGGTTAAAGCACTGAGCTGCTGAGCTTGTTGATCGAAAGGTCGCTGGTTCGATTCCGGGGAGCGGCGTGAGCTTCCGCTGTCAGCCCTAGCTTCTGCCAACCTAGCAGTTCGAAAACATGCAAATGTGAGTAGATCAATAGGTACCGCTCCGGCGGGAAGGTAACGGCACTCCATGCAGTCATGCCAGCCACATGACCTTGGAGGTGTCTACGGACAACGCTGGCTCTTCGGCTTAGAAATGGAGATGAGCACCACACCCCAGAGTCAGACATGACTGGACTTAATGTCAGGGGACTACCTTTTACCTTTTATTTGTAAAACACACTGACACACTGCAGCTGACACACGAACAGATCCTGATTTTTGGGAAGCTCTGCTGTAAATAGATGCAGTTTGGCAACACTTTTGCTGCATAGGCAATCCTGGGAGTTTCACCTCCTCTGACTGGTGCCTCACTAGACTGCAACTGGTGTAATTCCTTAGGCCAGTGTTTCTCAACCTGGAGGTCGGGATCCCTGGGGGGAGGGTCATGAGAGGGATGCCAGAGGGGTCACCAAAGACCATCAGAAAACACAGTATTTTCTGTTGGTCATGAGTGTTCTGTGTGCCAAGTTTGGTTCAATTCCATCATTGGTGGGGTTCAGAATGCTCTTTGATTGTAGGTGAACTATAAATCCCAGCAACTACAACTCCTAAATGTCAAGGTCTATTTCCCCTAAACTCCACTAGTGTTCCCATTTGGACATATTGAGTATTTGTGCCAAGTTTGGTCCAGATCCATCATTGTTTGAGTCCACAGTGCTCTCTGGATGTAGGTGAACTACAACTCCAAAACTCAAGGTCAAAGCCCACCAAACCCTTCCAATATTTTCTGTTGGTCATGGGAGTTCTGTGTGGCCAAGTTTGGTTCAATTCCAACCTGGGTGGAGTTCAGAATGCTCTTTGATTGTAGGTGGACAATAAATCCCAGCAACTACAACTCCCAAATGACAAAATCAAAACAGTGTTCAAATTTGGGCGTTTCGGGTATTTGTGCCCAATGTGGTCCAGTGAATGAAAATACATTCTGCGTATCAGATATTTACATTACAATTAATAACAGTAGCAAAATTAGTTATGAAGTAGCAACGAAAATAATGTTATGGTTGCGGGTCACCACAACATGAGGAAGTGTATTAAGGGGTCGCGGGAATAGGAGGGGGGGGGGGGGGGGGGGGGGGGAGAGAACCACTGGCCTAGGCAGTCCAAGCGGTGCCAAGCTGCGTTCGTGCCACGGTGCAGATGCGCTCCCTCTTTCTCCCCGGCCTGGGGCGCAGCTCTGTCCAGGCGCCTTCTGACCCTTCTGGAAGTGCTGGGGTGGCCGCGGGGCGGGCCTTCCCTCTCTCCTCCCCCTCCGCCCCGCCCTCCCCTCCGCTGCCCGTGTGTTTATGCCAGGCCCACCCCACCGCCCCGCCGGACGCCCCAGCGCCTCGGCCCTTCGCCCGAAAGAGGAGCCATGGAGAGGCAGGAGGACGCGGCCTCCGAGCAGGTAAGGCACACTTGGCTGCCAGCCCCGGCCGAGGAGCCCAAGGGGACGCCCTCCAGCCCCGGGGCGCCTCCAAACACTGCCTGCCTCTCGCCACGCACACGCAGCCTCCCGGCCGCCCTCTACACCAGCATTTCTCCACCTTCCTAACGCGGCGACCCCTTAATACAGTTCCTCATGTGGTGGTGACCCCCAACCATAACATTATTTTCGTTGCTACTTCATAATTGTAATTTTGCTACTGTTATGAACTGTAATGTAAATAACTAAAATGTATTTTCATTCACTGCACCAAATTTGGCACAAATACCCGATACCCCCCAAATTGGAATACTGGTGGGGTTAGATACGGGGTTGATTTTGTCATTTGGGAGTTGTAGTTGCTGAGATTTATAGTTCACCTACAATCAAAGAGCATTCTGAACCCCACCAATGATAGAATTGATCTAAACTTGGCATACAGGACTCCCATGATCAACAGAAAATACTGGAAGGGCTTAGTGGGCTTAACCTTGAGTTTGGGAGTTGTAGTTCACCTATGTCCAGAGAGCACTGTGGACTCAAACAATGATGGATCTGGACCAAACTTGGCACAGATACTCAATATGCCCAACTGTGAACACTGGTGGAGTTTGGGGGAAAATAGACCTTGACATCTGGGAGTTGTAGTTGTTGGGACTTATAGTTCACCTACAATCAAAGAGCATTCTGAACCCCACCACCAACAGAATTGGACTCCCATGATCAACAGAAAATACTGGAAGGGCTTAGTGGGCTTGACATTTTCATTGATCAATCCCACTGGCCAAGCGTTGTAGATATGGATGATTTAGATTCAATTTAGTGACAAATCCCATCTGACAAATCTCTTTCTGTCTTGCACCAGGCCTTGTTTCAAGGGAAGGGTCTTTCTAACTATTGATGCCAGTTTTTGCCAGATCCTTTCTCTCAGGTCCCAGGGCTAACCTCACCTGAGCAGGTATTTGATGGTACAGTTGACTCTCCATACCAAAGGTTTTGGCATCCATGGGTGCAACCATCCATAACCCCCCCCCCCCACTTAAATCCAAAAATCCAAAAAGTGAATGTTGAGGGCTGTTTCCTGTCATGGTCATGGGGAGTGTAAAAAAAAGTTTCAGGGGGTTGGGCTAGGTGGCCCATGTGGCCTCTTCTAGCTCTATGATTCTATGATGCTATGACTTCATAGAAAGGAAAAACAGTCTTCTTTACAAGCATTGCAAATGCTGAATTATATCAGTAGTTGTTTGATTTTATACTTATTTTTAATACTTATATACTTGTGTGAAAATTTATCTGGCAGAAAGACATTTTGAGTGCAAAAAGTTTTAGAAGCCCTTAGCCAACATTTTAAAAATGAATTTAATGCCCTTTTTAATTTATGATAGCTTAGGAATGGAAACTTAGTCTGCAGGTTTCTTCTCTCAGGATAGCATTCTCATTGGAAATACTCCAGACTTGTAACATTTGCTGCACAGATCCCAATTCAGCCTGGCATAGGCAATCTCTGTGTAATACCATCTGTTTGTGTTCCACTCCTAGGCATTACCACTGAACAATGGTCTCCAGCATCAGGAAGCAGGTGGGTAGTATGTTGGCTTTGCCTGCCGCTGGTGGAGTGACTTCTCCCAAGTACAGACTTCACTGCCTGTCATCCGCCTGTCATCTGTCTGTGCCCAGAGGATTGCTTTGGATACTAACTACCTGTTTTGGGACTTCTTCAAAAACTGCTAATCAATAACAGCACGATTTTGTACATATGCAGTCAGAGACATTACTTCATGCTCTTGCTGTTTGCCCTGTTTAGCCAGGATGGTGCCTTTCTGCCTAAACAATTGTTTCCATTCTACTACTTCATCACACTAGAGAAAAATGCACTTAAAATCCAGTTTCTGCCTCCTGCAGAATTCTGGGAGTTGTAGTTTAGGGAGGCTGTTAAAGGCTCCTCCCTAAACTTCAAACCCCTGAAACTTCAAACTCCTTAAAATCTGGTTTCTGCAAGAGTCAGAAACCGAATTTTAAGTGGATTTATTCTCTCATGTCTGGTATTGTGATCTGTCCCAGTATCCAAGTTCCACTTTATTATGGTGTGGGGAATTCTAGTTTTGATGGAATTAATGCCATCTAATGTAATAAACAGATAATTAGAATAGAATCTGGAAGACCCAAATCCAAAATTCAGATTCCCCATCACAGCAATATTTTCCAGGCTCTGTTTTCTATCTGTCAAATGAGCATAATGACAACCTACCTCACAGGGTTGTTGTGAGGCCACTCAATAAAGATTATGTTGATGGATACATAAATACTTTAATAACCATAAAGGCCTCTTTTTAAAAAATATTTTATTGATAATTTTTCAGGAGAGGTGGGAGGTGGATAAGGGGAGGAGAGAAGGGGGGAAATATAAGGGAAGAGATTGGGAAAGTAAGGCTAGGTAGGTAGGCAGGTAGGTAGGTAGGAAGGAAGGAAGGAAGGAAGGGGGAGAGCGAAGAAAAGAGAGAGGAGAAAAAGAAAAAATTGATCCAAAATATATAAAAAGTTGGGTTATAGTTTAAAAGAGAGAAAAATCAACACAAGAAAAAAACCAGGAAAAATAACTATTTAGAACTTCTTTCTTTATAGTGGGATAGGTGATAATAGGAAAAATAAAATAAATAAATAAATAAACAATTGTCTGTTGTATTTAACATAATCTCTGTTGTAGTCCATTCCATTTTCTCTGAGTTTCAGATTAACATCTTTAACAGATCCCAGTCTGTCCTGTTTCTGCGTTTCCCCTGGGATTTGGCAATCATGAAAGCCAGTTCATCCATATTCATAATGTCCAGCATCTTCCCAATCCATTCTTCTTTCCATAAAGGCCTCTTTTGACTATTTCTATTTTTCTAAAAAGATCAATTAGCCTGCAACCTAAACTCTCAGTACTTCCTCTACTAGAGGGGTTAGGAATGCCATTGAACTGCAGCTCCCCTCATCCCACATCTTGTCTGTGCATGGTGTGGCTCATGAAAGTTGGAGTTTGGTAATATCTCAAAGGCCGCACATTCTCCACCCATGTTCTGCTATACATTTTTCAGGATAGGTTTTGTCTGTTCAGTTTGAATCTTTGCTAAAATTAGTGAATGTTTATAAACTAACCAAAATCGCTCTGCACTCATATTTGTATGTCTTATCGTTTACCAAAAGTTGTAAACAATAAACTAACTCTGTTTACGTGTGTTTGTGTGTGTTCTGTCATGCAGGGTGGGGGAGGAGAAGGGAAATTATCAGCAGGCAATGCACCTGCTGCTTGCATAAGCCATGGGTTATTTGGCCCACCAAATGAACTCCTGCCATTTGTGAGTCAAGAGGCACTGGAGTCGTAGTGGGGAAGGTTGTCTCAGTCTAATACAGTGGTTCTCAACCTATGGGTCCCCAGATGTTTTGGCCTTCAATTCCCAGAAATCCTAACTACTGGTAAACTGGCTGGGATTTCTAGGAGTTGTAGGCCAAAACACCTGGGGACCCACAGGTTGAGAACCACTGGTCTAAAAGACCAAGATTATTTAAATATCTCACCAACCAAAAGACTTTTGGTGTCTGCATTTCCACTGCTTCCCTTTGCCCGCCAGGCCCCGTCCTTTCTCAAGATGTTAAGGAATCTGCCTTGAAAGCCAACGCTGTAGCTCTGAAGACCAAAGACCTCATTGCAGAGGGCAAAGCTGCCAAGCTGAATGGGATGTCAGGTGGCCGGAGCATGAACCGTGATCCCGAAGTTGTGGCACGAGATGCCAAGGCAGTAAACGGAGGTGGCAGAGTGACAGAACTGACTGTCAAGACTGCAGATGCAAAGGCCAAAGAGCTGGATGAAGCTGAAAATGGTCGGCTTGAAGCCACAGGAACAGATTGTAAGCAAGTGAATGCAAGTGGAAAGGAGGGTGTGATGCTGGGAGACATAAATGATGACAGGAAGGCCAGAGTCACTGCACCAGGTGGTAAAGATGCCAGTCAGCATAGCCAAGGACCTGACCGGGATCCAAAAGAAACAGAAGCAATCATAACAACAACGTCCACAGCAGCAACAACAGCGGAAAGTACTCAGCTTGAACAGAGGAATAAAGAAAGTGATGGGGACATAATTTCTCTAGATTGTGAAATTCTTGGCTTTGGCCCTGACATTGACTTTCTGGGGCCGGATGCTGAGCTCTATATGCAGTTTATGCGGAGCCACCACTGTTACGACGCCATCCCCACCAGCTCAAAACTGGTAGTGTTTGACACCACTTTGCAGGTGAGAAGGACGTGGGATCTATTGTGGGTGCTGAGGTGATGGGTTTTGTGTTGAATCTGATGACTAATGTCAGCCAGGAAACGGCTTCTTACAAATGTTCAACCTTCAATGATCCGATAATGACTCATTTGTACACAGATCTGCTTCCTCTTTCTGAAGGCTTTGAACAGCCTTATTTCTTTCACCTAAAAAACCCCAAATATCACAGATTCTAGAGTTTTTCAGCCAGCATGATGAATGGACATGCTGCCTGGGAGAGCTTTGGAGTTGTAGTGACAAAAGGAACGCAAGGCCTCTAAACCAGTGGTTCTCAACCTGGGGGTCCCTACATGTTTTGGCCTTTAACTCCCAGAAATCCTAACAGCTGATAAACTGGGTGGGATTTCTGGGAGTTGTAGGCCAAAACACTTGGGGACCCACAGGTTGAGAAACACTGCTCTAAACAAAACGGTTCATAGGATTGTGCACATGAAGTGATAGGGATGGATTGCATTGTCAGTGCTTGAGATAATCCTGCTAACAGGAAGCAAGTTGGGACCTGGCCAGTCTGTGTAAGTGAATGTTTGCTGTTTCCTCTACGTGGTAAAAGTAAAGCAATGTATTTGAGAATAATGTTATACTGACACAAAATTCACCATGTGCTTGAAGAGGAGCAGAAAATACAATTTGGTCTTATTATTTATTTATTTAGCATATTTGTATCCCATCCTTCTCACTCCCAGAGAGGGGACTCAGGGCGGCTTTACAACAGGCATCCATTCAATGTCAACAACAGTAATAAACGATAAACACAATTAAAACAATTTGTTAATGCTTTAAAATTACTAAAACATTGTTTAAATCATGCAGGTTTGAAATCATAGTTCAGGTCAGTCTCTCTCTCTCTCTCTCTCTCTCTCTATGAAATAATATAAATCAACAGGAATTCTGTGTAGTTGTCACCCTAGGGATTCTTGAATACTTTGATCCCTTTTGTTCTACACCAGGCATCTGCAAACTGCAGCCCTCCAGCTGTTTGGGCCTTCAACTCCCAAAATTCCTGATAATTGAACAAGCTTGATAGGGCTTCTGGGAGTTGCAGGCCCAAACAGCTGGAGGGCCACAGTTTGAGGATACCTGTTCTACACAATAACAAATTTCACAATTCAAACGAATTTCACAATTCACATCCCATGGTTTGCAATTTAGCAAGACACAAGAGCTCTCTGGGAATTGTAAGTACTCATCCCTAAAATGCACATTCAAAGCTTGCATAGGATTGTACATGACCAATGCAATACAACCATAGCATTATAATTGGCAGAGATGTGGGATCCAGTAGAAGTATGAAGGCTATAGTCTATCTTTCCTACTGCAAGTATCTTTGTTGTCTCATAGCTACAGAGAGTTGAGACACTCCTAGGCCTGTTTTTCAGCTGTGAAGAGTACTACAGCAGAGAGGCAGAAACATTTTTGTTGTGATTACCAGGTCAAATTCGAAATTGTGACCAAATAAAAATGTGGTGGAGATGTGGATTTTTCCAAACTTCCAGATTTTCCATTCTCATCCTCCTAGGCCAGATGCAGCTATCCACATATGTACACACAACTGCTATTGCTATTGCAGCAAGATGAACATTAGTGGCCAGTCTAGCCCATATACTTGTTTCTCTCTCCAGATTAAGAAGGCCTTCTTTGCCATGGTGGCTAATGGGGTGCGAGCTGCTCCTCTCTGGGACAACAAAAAGAAATGTTTTGTGGGTAAGTGATGCAATTGAATAGGCTTAGGGTGGTGTGTATGTGTGAGGAGGCCAGCAGTGGATGTTAGGCTCTGGAAAGCGCAAAATATGGCTATGTGAGCTCATTGGATTTGGAGTCCTTTGGACTGAAGGAGGAATATCTATAAAAGCAGGATTCTGTGGGTGGCTTATAAAGAAAAGCATCAGCAGCTCGGGGACTGAGTTTGTTGCCTTACGAACTGACCTGCCATGCCTGGGGTTTCAGCTATTCCAGCCCCCTTCTTTGTGTGTGTGTGTATATGTGTTTGTGTGTTCTTTTTCTCCTTCTTTCTCCTTTTTTCTTGTAATCCCTTCATGCAGGTATGCTGACTATCACTGACTTTATTAACATCCTACATCGTTACTACCGATCACCTCTGGTAAGTTTCCAGGACCTCAGCCTGCTTTCCAGATCTGTCATGAACTTCCCATCCATTCATCAGAACTTGGAACAGCTACTTAAAAAAAGCCCACACCAAGCTCGGGATCATTAACTTTTTTGCAAGTTGCCCATTGCAAATATCCCACTGTGTTGTGTGTTGTCAAATCCATACCATCCTATTCTTGTTAAAAGGAACGAAGGCATGTTTTGCAGGGCAAAGAGGGACATCTGACTTAGGAAGAAGAGCCAGAGATGATCCAAAAGCCTCCCTCCTTGAAAGCTAGATAGAAATCTCTCCTTGGCTGAGAACACGGCTACCTCTGGTTGCCAAACTATTAGGGAGATGGTTATTGTATCTTTAATTTCAATAATGAGTCATCACTCTTCATCTCTTACCTAGAAAATGATTTACCTGCTGTTTTATCACTTATGAGGCAACTGAATGGTAACACCCTCTGTCAACAGTAGCGTGGCAGCCATAGCTCTTTCCAAATCCTTAAAACCCATGTTAACTGGTGCCCGTAATGGTAGTGGCAAACAGGTGTCCTAATGTATGAATTAATTATTTGACTACATATCACAATGGCATGGCCATTTTCTTACTCTCTTACCAGTCTGAAAGGACTGCCAGAGCTTTTGCTTTGCAGGTGCTTATCTCCTTGTCATTACGAATTGGCAAGAGTAGGACTTGAAGGCGGATGGCTCTCATATCACATTTCAACTGTCTCCTGTTTGGGCTCAATTGACTCAACTGTTCAACTTGTTAAAATACAGGCTGTGTATCTCTTATCCAAAATGCTTGGGACCTGAAGTATTTTGGATTTTGGAATACCTGTATTTGCATATGTTTATGAGATATCTTGGAGATTGGATCAAAGTCTAAACATGAAATTCATTGATGTTTCATATACACATTCTACACATAGCCTGAAGGAAATCTTATAAAACAATATTTGTAAATAATTTTGTGCATGAAACAAAGTTTATGTCCTTTGAATGATTAAAAAAAGCAAAGGTGCCACTATCTCAGCCATCCATGTGGACAATTTTGGAGGATCTGTATAACATAGCCCGCACCAAACTTGGGGTTATTACCTTTTTTTGCATGACTTTTAACGACATCTCCTCCCTCTCATCACTACAATTTTATGCCTTTTAAGGTTCAGATATATGAGATTGAGGAACACAAAATTGAAACATGGCGAGGTAAGGAAAGTCCCACTAGGGGGAGTGAGGTGTGCATGAATGCAGTGAAATGCCATTGAAATTATTGACATAAATGGGCATCTAGTTGACATCCAGCTGAGTCTAAGTGTGCATGCTTGTATCTGTCTGTATGAGCTTAACCTGTTTCTCCCTGAGTGCTAGGATCCTAAATTGCTGGTGTTCTGTCTGATGGAGGTTTCAGGGCTTCCCCCTTGTGCTTTTGGTGTGGGTTTTCCTAGCCTGTGGCTTGTTTGTGTTTTTTCATTAGTTCTTCCTAAAGATGGCTTGTATTTTCTTTCTCAGTGCTACCTGCGTAGATTGACTTGTACCATAATAACTAAATTGTTCCTGGAAATAAAGAGGCAGATATTGCCTGCCTGCCACTAGTCTAGATTTTTTTAAAAAAAGAATAATAAAAATATTGACAATGTAATAGTATTTTGTCACCTCCAAAGGAGTGAGAGAAACAACAATTGCTATTTTGCTTTGTCTGCCCAACTATTGAGTATTTGACACTGGTCTTCTGATTTTGTTGATTTGCATGTACCTATACATTCAGCTTTTATGAAGCAATTATATGTAACATAGCTACTGGCAATGGGTTTCTTTTTGCAGAGGAACAAGGGTGGAATGGATAAAGAATCATAGAATCATAGAGTCGGAAGAGACCTTGTGGGCCATCCAGTCCAACCCCCCTGCCAAGAAGCAGGAAAATCACATTCAAAGCACCCCTGGCAGATGGCCATGTGTTTTAAAATTAAAATAACAAATGCTGAAGGTATAATATCAGGGGCTCATTTTCAGCTAGATGACATCATCCAAGACACTTCTAGCAGAACTTTCTTGCTATGTGAAGGATCAAAATGCAGCCTGTTTTCGTATAAGTAATCTCATTCCAGAAGAATACCTAAATCCTTCTGTTGAATCCATCCATTTCCAAACCCAGTTCTCCCTATATGACTACTCCAAATGTGCAGGTACAGCTGTACCAGGAGCTCCAATTTTGTTTGCTTTGCATTTAATGTTTGTTATAGTCCTAAGTTTCAGGGACTCTGCAGATAGGTGGCTTCTTTTGGCTGCAATCATAGGGCAAGCCACCTGTCAATTATCATTAGGTTCCCTGGTCCCGCCCCCTTTTTGGGTTTTGGTGGGAATAGGAGCCATTTTGAGTTCAGTCCACACAGAGAAGCTTTCCATACAGGACATAATACCAAGAGCTCCTGCAGAAAGCTTCGTCTTCTACAGCTTGGCCGGGGTTATATATCCCACAGCTTGGCCGAGGATCATACAGCCTTACAGCTCCTTTGCTGAGGGACTTCAGCCAGCCACCACCGAAACCTGAACTCCTTTTCCCTTGGAAGTCTACAAAGCTCTGCTTGATAAGGGTCACTCGCGGAAGCCAGACGCAGCTGGTACCGGGTGTAGGGGCTCCACGCCAACAGAGGCAAAGACAGACTGCCCAGATTAGAAGTTAAGGATTTCCCCATTAGTTAAATTACAGTTTATGAAGATAGTGCCTGTTCCCAGTGAACAAGATTGAGAGAGCCAATGGACTATTAAGATAGCCTTGAAGTACCTGTTTGTTTTCATTAATAAAGAACTTTGTTGAACTTTTAAGCAATCTAGAGACTCTGTTTTAAGGAAATCCAAAGGCCTTTAATCTGAGGCAGCCCTGGTGTCCCATTGGGCACACAGAATTTATGTCCTGTCTACAGTTTTATGCACAGGCCCAGCGTGCAACAGCACACCAAATGAGATCTCCCCTCCTTTTCACACGATAAGTATTTTTGGGACAGTAGGCATCTCAAGCTCCTTGACACATATCAGGAACAAAACTGAATTGTGTTTTGGAGGGACTTTCCAGTGGGATCTGTTTTTACTTTCCTCCCTTCTCTTTCTTTTACTCTTACATGTTTTCAAAAAGCATATATAGCTTGAAGAAAAAAGTATAATGCAATAGATGACCACCTCAGGACAGTATATATCTCCTCAACCATATTCTCATGCTTGTGTTAGTAGAAGATTGCTGTTCAAATGGTAATGTATTGAAATAAGCCGCAGAATGGGAATTTACCCCTTAGAGTCAAATGAAGAACCACCACAGACACAGGCTTCCTGGTTGCCTGTTCTGGTTTCTGAGCTACTATATTTTCAGTCTACACGGTACAGGCAATATAAGCCATAGTATATCAGTCTTTCTCTGACTTGGAGTTCTCCACATATGTTTGATAATGATTTCTATCATTCTCAATTAATTTTTTTATTACAGTATTTATATACTGCTTTTCTCACTTCTGGGGGGACTCAAAGCAGTTTACAAAAAATAATGGCAAAATTCAATGCCTTATATACATAAACCAAATCATAAATCAAACAGCATATGACTAATTATAAAATACAATAGCACAAATTCACCATAAGATAATAGGGCATTTAAACATGTAGTATAAAAATTAAAAACATTAAAATCACATGATCCAAACTTGTAGACTCATAGACCTCAACCAGCATTTGCTGCTTGCTGTGTTACTGAGAGATGCAACCCAACTCTCCTAGAGTGCCTCAGGTAAAAGAAGGCTGATCTCAAGTTAATATACACAAACATGGATGTAAACTCTCCACCCTTTTTAATTGGCTGGAAATCCAACACTGATTTCTTCAGTGAAGTTTGCTTTACAGATACTTCATCATTACTTAACCTTAGTTAGGTGATCTCATACCCTAACAAGGGTGGAGGTTCCTTACTTACTCAGCTCCTTTCCTTTCTCCCCAGAGGTGTATTTGCAAAGTTCCTACAAACCCCTAGTGTGCATCTCCCCAAACGATAGGTAAGTCATCACATCCCTTTTGTAAAGAGGTGGTAATGTGGAGGTTTCCCTTTTCTTCTGTAGAGGTTGACAGCATCCCAGTTCTTTCCACAAGTTGCCCATTGCAAATACCCCACTGTGTTGCGTGTTGTCAAATACATGCCATCCTATTCTTGTCAGGTGTGTTTTGCAGGGTGAAAGGGGACATCTGACTTAGGAAGAAGAGCCAGAGATTATCCAAAAGCCTCCCTCCTTGAAAGCTGGATAGATACCTCTCCTTGGCTGAAAACCCCGTGGTTGCCAAATTATTAGGGAGATGGTTATTGTATCTTTAGTTTCAGTAAAGAGTGAAGTCATTGCTCTTCATCTCTTAGCTACAAAATGATTCACTTGCTGTTTTATCACTTATGAGGCAACTGAATGGTAACACCCTCTGTCACAGTAGCATGGCAGCCATAGCTGTTTCCAAATGCTTAAAACCCATGTTAACTGGTGCCCATAATGGGCAGTGGCAAACAGGTGTCCTAGTGTATAAATGGTTTGATTACAGTATATTACCACAAGATGGCCATTTTCTTACTCTCTTCCGCAGCCTCTTTGATGCTGTTTATTCCTTGATTAAGAACAAAATCCACCGGCTGCCTGTGATTGAGCCCATCTCAGGGAATGTCCTTCACATCCTGACGCACAAGCGCATCCTCAAGTTTCTGCATATTTTTGTGAGTACCCAGCAGATTGGATATGAAGTCTTGATGCGTTGGCAACTCAGTGCTTATTTGATGTGCTGGCAGCCCAATGTGTGATGGTTTACAGAGTAACATAAACCAAAATAGCAGATGCTTGTCTGCATGGAGCTCAGTGGCGATGAGGGGAAAGGCAGTGGGGAGGAAGTAAAGGAGGGGCATGAATGTGGACATATGCAGTTGTACATGTGTTTTCATCTTACCCGTTGACATATGAAACCCTTTCCTTGCATTTTCATAGCCAAAAAGCACTCAGAGTTGATTTGCCATTCTTTCCTTCTGGAATTTCGCCTACTATTCTCTGCAAGTACTAACCAAGTCTAACCTCTTTAGCTTCCAAGATCATGTGTATTCTGATGATTTCAGGGTACTTAAGCCTCACATATTTACTTACCTGTTTTTAAATTGTGCTTATTGTTGGAACTGGGTATTCTGAAGATAAGACATGTGGAAAAAGGTGGGGTTTTATGAAGGTCACGAAAGAAAAAAGAAGCAATTTTGAGTACACAGAGTCACAGATTTGTAGCATAGTTGGGTTCTTTTACAGTAATCTAATCTGGCTTCCTACGACTCAGTGCATCTACACTGCATAATGAAGGCATCATGTTAGCTGCTATAACTCAATTCTATTAGATCATGGGAATTGTCATTTCACAAGATCTTTCACCTTATTTAACAAATAGTGCTGGTGCCTCGCCAAACTATAAATCTCAGGATCCTATAACATTCCCATGACAGTTAAAGTGGTGTCAAACTGTATTCATTCTACAGTGTAGATGCATTCTATGGGAACAGAATACTGTGTTCAGTAGGCCTTTGGTCTCATCCAGAAGCACTCTGCTTTACTTATTTTTTACATGCTCTTGTGTTCAAGTTTGTCATATATATATATGAGAGACATGGTGGAGACAGGAACAAAGATGGCAAAGAAACCAGGTGCCTCTAATGGGGAATAAAAGAATTCTGAGATGATCTTTAAAAATGAGAAGAGTCTGTTTATGTAGGAGGACAGGAGCGAGAAATGGGATCAGCTCCCGGTTTGAGAAGAGATTGCCAAAATACACTCTCTCTCCATTATTGTACTTAGGACACTGGTAAGGTTATAAGCTGGTAGGAGCAACAACTGTCATCCAGCACACTCTAAATTTGCACTCGGTTGCTGGAAGTTGTCACTTTCATTTTCTATAGTGTCTTGGAGCTGGAGTGAAAAGTACAGTCCATCTTTGATTTTGGACTCCAAATTCCATCAACCCTTTTCCTTGGCAGAGGCCAGCAACATTGGATGGCCTCTTTTTGCCAAGTCTCTCTTATAGTGAAATGACACTGGGATCACAAAGGAAGATTAAAATGATGGCTTCTGAAATCCAGCCCCCAACAGGAATCTGTGGTGGCTGTGATGGGACATGAATCCAAAATCTTAATTCTGTGTAAGTAGGTAGTTAATGTTTATACCAGCCTTCAGGAGGCAAAGGGAGAAAGGGACCAGAGACATGAAGAGAAGGCTGAGAGGAGACATGATAGCCATGTATAAATATGTGAGAGGAAGTCATAGGGAGGAGGGAGGAAGCTTGTTTTCTGCTACCCTAGAAACTAGGACACAGAACAATGGCTTCAAACAACAACAAGGAGATTCCATCTGAACAATAGGAAGAATTTCCTGACTGTGAAAGCTGTTCAGCAGCGGAACTCTCTGCCACGGAGTGTGGTGGAGGCTCCTTCTTTGGAGACTTTTAAACAGAGGCTGGATGGCCATCTGTTGGGGGTGCTTTGAATGCGAGTTTCCTGCTTCGTGGCAGAGGGTTGGACTCTTCCAACTCTATGATTCTATGAATGTCACCTTTATCACCATCTTGGTTTGTCTTTGCCAGATTTCCCTCTTGCCACTTCCAAGCATCTCTTTGTGTCCCTTTGAATTGTGGGCTCAGGGCAAAAGTTTCCTTCATAGGTTCTCCCAACCATCTTTTTTTTTTTTTTTACTCCAGGGCGCCATGCTTCCAAAGCCACGTTTCCTGCAGAGAACCATCCAGGAGCTGGGCATTGGCACCTTCCGGGATGTTGCGATTGTACTGGAGTCAGCTCCTGTTTACACAGCTCTGGAGACTTTTGTGGACCGCAGAGTCTCAGCATTGCCAGTTATTAATGACAAAGGTATGGCTGTGGTGGGCCCCACTGCGGTGCTCATCCCTGTCTTTACAGGCTCATTGAAGTCTTAGCTATAATTAGTGAGCTCAATCACAAACAACATAATTTTATTTTTTAATCAGCTCCCCTTTTTTCTTTGCCTACTGAAAGACTATATAATTTTTTAAAAATTAATTAGATCTATATTCTACCATACCCCTAAAACTTCTGGCTCAGTAGTCTGGATTGCTGGACAACATTACTCGTTGCCCTGGTCTCAATTTCAAAACTCTAGGGAGAGGTTCTTAGGCAGATCTTATCACCAAGGAGATAAAAATACTTCCATGAAGATATATTAGTTATGGTCAGAATCTGGTCTTCATTTGAATGACAGAACCTCAGCTTGCCAAAGGAATTATTGTAAATGCTGTTGCAGTTGATGTGGCAATGCATTCTCTGTTATTATTTCATTGTTTGTTTGGTAGTTTGGTTTTTAGAAATCCAGCTTCTGTTTCTCATGTCTGTTAGTCATATACAATAGATTACGCCATTATGAGGTAGGCCTTGAAGTCATTCGACTTTTATGTGAGGCCATTTTTGCTTCTACAAGGTGGCAGTACACGCAGCGGACAAAGCGTTCAATTCTGCATGTATTACGTCTGGGGATTCACATCCAGCAGGGCTGTTCAGAGTGATGAGAGGATTAACTCGGGTGCCCTCCCCCTGAATCCATTGCTAGATCCATCAGTAGATCACTCTGATACTTTAATAACCATTTTGCAGATAAAACTTTAGTATCAGAGCTGAGCTAGATGCTGTCATTGGACAAGAAGTTGACAACGAGGTATCCAGTAACTCTGTGAGTGGGATTACACTGGATCAGTTTCAATTAGTGAATACTGTTGATGTGTACAAGCTTCTGAGACAAGTAAAGAGGATCTAGGGAGGAGATGGATTTAGTTCTCAGATACAACAAATTATCAATGCATCTCTTAGAGAAGAGAATTTTTCATCAGGTTGAAAAGAAACAGTAGTTAGACCACTTCTAAAAAGGCCTCCCTGGATCCCCTGGACCAGTGTCTAAACTTCCTTATTTGGGCAAAATGATTGGAAAGGCAGTTGCCCTCCAATTTCAGGCCGACTTGGATAACACACTCTTCCTTGACCCATTTCAAACTGGCTTCAGAGCAGGATATGGAGTTGAGACTTCTATGGTTGCCTTACTGAATGATCTCTGTCTTCACACTGACAAGGGGCTTGGGTCTCTGCTGTTGCTTCTAGACCTTTCAGCGGCTTTTGATATCATTGATCATGGTGTCCTTCTGGAACATCTAGGCTTTGGGAATTGGAGGTACTGTGCTACAGTGATTCGTGTCATATCTCTCAGACAAGTTAGAGATGGTGGTGCTTTGGGATAGCTGCTTCTCAAAAAAGGAGCTGTTATGTGGCATCCCACAAAGTGTCATTCTATCCCCAATGCTTTTTAACATTTATATGACACTGCTGGTAGAGATCATGAGGAGACATGGGGCAGGGTCCTATCAATATGCTGATGATATCCAAATATATTTCCCTATGCCTTCCAAAACAGCTCTGGCTAAGGATAGTGTGTCTCCTCTGAATGAATGCCTAAAGGAGATAATGGGCTAGATGAGGGGGGAAAAAATGAAACTGAATCCAGACAAAACAGAGGTGCTTGCTATGAAGGGTCCTAATCTGGGGGTGGAGGTGTGTCAACCAGTTTTGGATGGGATTACATTTCCCCTGAAAAACTGTGTTTGGAGCTTGGGAGTGTTCCTGGATCTATCTCTTGAAATGTCAGCCCAGAAAGATGCGATGGTCAGAAGTGCTTACTACCAGTTTCGGCAGTTATGCCAGCTGCGCTCCTTCCTAGGTTTGGAGGACCTAAGGATTGTGGGACATGCACTGGTAACCTCAGTGTTTGACTTTTGCAATACCATTGGACTACTCCTGTATCAAGTTTAGAAACTCCAGTTAGTTTAAAATACGATAGCAAAACTGGTTACAGGAACATCCAGGAGTGAACATATTACACCCATACTAAAGTCACTCTGCTGACTGCCAATTAGTCTCTGAGCAAAGTAAAAGTGTATAGTTTGGGTCCAGGTTACATACAAGATGGCCTTCTTGCATAAAATCTGCTTTGAATATTTGAGGTTCAATAGCTAGATCACTTGTTGAAATTTAAGCCACAATTGAAGACTCATCTCTTCTGGCAGGCCTACCCACTCAATTTTAAATTGTGAATTTTAATCTGCATTTCATTAGTGCAGTATTTCTCAAACTGTGCTCCTCTAGGTGTTTTGGATTTCAGCTCCCAGAAATCCCAGCCAGCTTACCAGCTATTAGGAATTCTAGGAGTGGAGTTACCAAAGCATCTGGAGGAGCAGTTCGAAAAACTCTGCATTAGTGGATTTTAACTTGTATTTTAACTTTGTGTATCTTGTTGTATGCCTTTTAATAGTGTTTTATCTTTTGTTTTAATGTGGTTGTATCCTGCCTTGAGCCTCATGGAGAGGCAGACAATAAGATGATGATGATGATGATTGTATTGTCAAAAGCTTTCATGGCTACAATCACTGGGTTGCTGTGAGTTTTCCAGGCTGTATGGTCATTTTCCAGGAAGCATTTTCTCCTGACGTTTCACCTGCATCTATGGCAAGCATCCTCAGAGGTTGTGACCTCACAACCTCTTGAGGACGCTTGCCATAGATGCAGGCGAAACACGAGAAGAGAACGCTTCTGGAACATGGCCATGCAGCCCAGAAAACTCACCGCAACTCTTATTATTATTATTATTATTATTATTATTATTATTACTATTATTATTACTATTATTCATAGTGCTGTCTTGCCTTCCTTTGCTTTTACAGGGAGTGTAGTTGGGCTCTACTCCCGCTTCGATGTGATTGTAAGTATGACATGGTCCACCTTTTCATGCTGAGGTTGTAACATAAACAAAAGTATTGTCTTGGGATAAACTGGCTGGAAATCACATGAAAAATGGAACTACTGTGCATGTGGAAGCATGACATCCTGTTTTATGTGGTAATCCAACAGAGTTCTGGTTTGAAGCTGATCTTTGTTTTACAAATTTCTTGGATTATCCCATTGATTTGTTGCTGATTTTTTTGGCCTTTTTGCAGGTTCACGACATGTAGTAGGACCTTTAATGGACCTCACATTTACAGCATTTGTTATTTGCTCCTTTGTATATTTTTGATATGTTTTTGGAGTTAAATGCCATCTAAATATAATTTTGTAAAGAAAATTCTTTAAGAAAAGCCTTTATAGAAGCAGCAAATTTTCTTTTACTAGGGTGCAGGAGTAGGCCTCCCTCCATTGCTTATCATTTTAAAATAAGCTGTTCCAACCCCACAGGTTGATTGTTGGTTACTTCCTATTTTGGTTTTTTCTTTCTGGCAGTCCATCGGCCCCTAAGAATCCCAGGGGGAGAAAATTGACTCCTGGCCCCACTGTGTTTGCCTCCTCTTGGTCTAACATTACATAGTTGTTCCACTGTGAGCACAAAGGGCTGGCTGTATATCAAAAATTCAGATCCTGCCTTTTAGAAAAGCAGGAGCTGCATGGATATACTCAGAGCTTAGATGACAACTTTCGGAATCCCCAGTCTTTGGAACTTTTGCGAAGTATAGTCCAAAACAGCAGCATTTCCAAAATCTGGGCATATTTCCTGGTCACACCAAGACTCCTGCCTGACCTGCTAGTGCAATTCCAGTCCTGTTCTTCACTTCTCTGCTTACTGTCCCTAGCACTTGGCTGCCCAGAAGTCCTACAATAACCTGGATATCAGTGTGGGGGAAGCACTCAAACAACGTTCAGTCTGCCTGGAAGGAGTGCTCACATGCCACCCTTACGAAACAATGGAAGAGATCATTGATCGTATTGCCAAAGAGCAGGTATGCCAGGAAGCTGTTGCAGAGGGAGGTAAAGGGGCTGGGATTTGTTGAACTGCTACTGTGTGGAACAATGTTATCCTGTGCATCCCTACACTCTGTTGATGCTCAATGCCTTAATTCCTAGCCTGTGCTCCCAATTAAGACTAGAAATGAGGAGATTTTTAAAAGATTTACAATAGTTAATTCTGCAGAAGAATGAAGGGGTGGGCCTGTGCAATGAATCAAGTCAGGAAAGTACCGCACAGAGAAAGAGGGGGCAGCAGCTTTTATATAAGGGTTTGAAAACGCACACCACACTCACATTTCTACCCCTCCTTCTACTTCCTTCACCTCCTCCTTCCTTCAGGCAATCTGAGCTTGCACTTTGTAGGCCTTCAACATCGAAAAGATCTGTCTGTCTATGGATCTACATATCTATGGATCGATCTATCTATGGATCTATTTATCGATCTATATCTATCTGTCTATCTATCTATCTGTCTATCTGTCTATCTATCTATCTATCTATCTATCTATCTATCTATCTATCTATCTATCTTACTTTCTGTGCTCATATATATCAAATTCAACATATAAATAGGAGCCCCTGGTGGCGCAATGGGTTTAACCCTTGTGCCGGCAGGACTGAAAACCGACAGGTTGGAGGTTTGAATCCGGGGAGAGCACGGATGAGCTCCCTCTGTCAGCTCCAGCTCCTCATGCGGGGACATGAGAAAAGCCTCCCCCAAGGATGGTAAAACATCAAAACATCCAGACGTCCCCTGGGCAATGTCCTTGCCGACAGCCAATTCTCTCCCACCAGAAACGACTTGCAGTTTCTGAAGTCACTCCTGACACGAAAAAACAAACAAACATACAAACAATAATAAACCATATAATAACATTTTGTTTTTCAATATGAATCAAAACTTATAGTATGATGAAAAACCATGTTTGTTTTTGTATAGATAAAGGCAAAGGTTTCTGGATTATGCAATTTTAATGTTTTATATTAATAAGTTTTAATTCCATGTTTAAATGTCTAGATGTTGTTCTTTCTCCATTTAATATGGTTTGATTTAATTTATAGTTACATGGTTATAGTTGTCCGTAGACACCTCCAAGGTCATGTGGCCAGCATGTTTGCACAGAGCGCCATTAAATAAAGTGAAACTGTTTTTGTATAGTTCCACTTTATTTATGTTTGAAATGTTTTTTCTTACATTTTCTAATTGCGAAGTCTTTTATTATGTGTACTCTTTTTGTGGAACCTGATTCAGCTGGTTTTGCACGATATGGTCCCTGGTAAATCCAGCAATGGAAAAGTTCTGTGCTTCTCTCCCCTTCCTTTGATTCCCTAAGCATGTACTTGTTTGGCTTAATGGATAGTCCAGGCCTGCCTAAAGCTCTTAATCTTCACTTGCTGCTGCTGAAAGTGAGACCTAATGACACATTGAAACGCAGGCAGACTCAAAGCCTTCCCAGTCTATTCTAGGGGTAGGGAACATGCCTAAAACTTGGTGTTTTTTTTTTGGGGGGGGGGGGGGGGGGGGGGGGGGAGAGGATGTCACCTTTAAGGAGTACAGTTCCAGAAACTTCTATAGTTGTGACCTCATCTTGGGGCTCTTCAGTTTGTTACTGCAAATGCCAACAGTCCTAGCCAGCAGTCAATGGAGAGGACTGTTGGGTGTTGCAATCCAACAAAAGTTGGAGGGCTACACATTTTCCATGCTTTCCCAATTGGTTATTGTGCTCCAGTAGCAGCAACCTATAGGGCAGACCTGGTCTTCCCATAAGCCCTGATAGCAAGGATTCCTACCATAAGACTTACAAACTTAGGAGGTATATTTTGATCAAGGATTGGGCAGGTGTATTTTCTGCAGATGTGGAGGTGTGCAAACCTGGGGAGGGAGCACTGTACAAAAGGGAAATATCACAAAGTCTTTTCTAAGGTAGGAATGATCCCTCTTCCTCCATGTTGTCATATACTCATGTCTCCCTCTCCCATTACTGTCCTCCCCATGGTGGTCTGTGGCCACGTGTCTGGCAGGTCCATCGCCTAGTTCTGGTGGATGAGAAGAACGCTCCGCGGGGGATCGTGTCCCTCTCTGACATTCTCCAAGCTCTGGTGCTCACGCCTGCAGGTATCGATGCCCTAAACTCTTAAGCTGCTCGACGCTCCATCCTTCCTCCATTTGTACCCTCCATTTCCTCCGCTTCTCTCCAGCTCAGGTAGGCCTCATGCCTTGGCCTCTTGGGCCACTTCCCTGCTGCTCATTTTTGCCTTGCTGCTGGGTCCTCTCTCTTGTCCGTCCGGTCAAGCCAGGTCTGTATTTCTATCTGTCTAGCACCAAACAACACCCAGTTTGGAAGCAAGGCCAATGATGTGGATCATGGACACAAAGGAGTCTTGCGGGTGCCTTTTCGGGTCTCTGTGCTTGTGCATTTCCTCCCTCCGTCACACACATACATAAAGGCACATGTAGAGGCAAATTCCCAAGTTTTACTGGCTTGTGTTCTGAGAGATCTCTTCATATACCCAGAGAGATTGAAACGGTGCTTGAACCTTTACGATTAACTGCTTTCATCCTTAATCTGTTTGGATTTTCTATTACTACAGTCACTTGTTGCTTGCATAGCACACTCCCAAGAGAAGGGGTGTGTGTGTCATATTTGTTGCATGAGCAGGGATCACGAAAGAACTGGATGACTTGATGGATAGTGACAAACCAAAATATCAGTGTCCCAGAAAATGGTGTGCCTATGTGTGTTTAACATGAAACCCTTTCAGTGGACAGAATTATAGCTGTATGTTAGCCCTATTTCCAATTGCAGACTCAGAATCTTGTCCATCTGAAGCAGTGGCTCTCAACCTGTGGGTCCCCAGGTGTTTTGGCCTACAACTCCCAGAAATCCCAGCCAGTTTACCAGCTGTTAGGATTTCTGGGAGTTGAAGGCCAAAAACATCTGGGGACCAGAGGTTGAGAACCACTCTGAAGCATTTTCCTAGCCCCCGGTGGTGCAATGGGTTAAAACCTTGTGCTGGCAGGACTGAAGACCAACAAGTTGGATGTTTGAATCTGGGGAGAGCGCGAATGAGCTCTCTCTGTCAGCTCCAGCTCCCTATCAAAACATTCGGGCATCCCCTGGGCAACGTCTTTGCAGATGGCCAATTCTTTCACACCAGAAGAGACTTGCAGCTTCTCAAGTCACCCTGACACCATAAAACAAAACAAAACAAAAAACAAAAACACTAAGATCTCTTTTTAATTTTTTATTAATTGTAGACACAAGTAGAGTAATACAAATCTCGATAATGAAATTCCACTTACATTACATATAATGTGTCTTATTTACTTAACTTTACAAATCCCAATTCCACAGTTATCAACCACTTGTGTCCAGCAGTTTTTCTTTTTCCTCCTCCCCTCCCTCCCCCTTTTACTCTCCATCTAGCCCACATCTCAACATCTGAGTTGGCATCCTGTCCAGTATTTAAATATTAGAAACAAGATTTAGGGCCCCCTAAAGTTTGCTATTATATTATTGATTGTAACACCATTGCCTTAACTGAAAATGCCTCCCAGATCCACCTCCTTCAGTGCCCCATTTGCCAAAACACTTTGGTTGGTGTAGCTGCCAGACTTTTAGGTGGGTTGTGACAGGGTTCAAATTGGGAGATAGATTGTAGCTGCATCTCAAAAACAGGATCATGACTTTTCTTTTTATAGTTGCTAGTATGAATGAATGAAGTATTTATTGTACCAGCCATAGGCCATGATATCAAATAATATACAGCCTTTAAAAGTATAATAAACACTTTCCAATAGAAACATTTAAACTTATTCTATATACTGGCTCTTTAAAATTACAGTAGTGGTGACATGACAACAATAAAAATGTCTGATTTGCATCATCCATTTCGGTTTCTAGCCTCTACTGTGGACTTTAATAATTTAGCTCAGATTTTTTGGGCTGGAAATGCAAATGTGGCAACTTTTAATGTTATATTTTTGGAATAATCTGCTAACAAGTCACAGAGAACTGCTGACTGTTGCCATGCTGCCCTTTCTTGCAAAAGGACTCCCAGAAGATGGTTTCTAGGGTCATTATACCAAGGGCAGTGTAACAGATAGTGTATTAAATCTCTTTCCCCGACCCACAAATAAAAAGTCATTGGGCATGAGCGATCCCTCTATATCTTCCCTCTAGCCATCCTATAGTTGCTAGAATGTTTATTACCGTCTGGTGTACTCTGTTTATTACTCTGCTAGTGCCATAGGCATTTTGCCTAGAATCCGCAGTGTGTCACATTTTCCCTATGGTACCTTCATTTATTTATTTATATACCCCCTTCAGGGTGGGTTACATTATAAAACATAATTGCACTTTTTGTTACAAAGCCTGATCATTCCTCAGTGTATGACTCAGAGAAAAGAAGGAAAACTATCTACTGGACCTGATGTGAGCCATAGTTTGTCTGATTTTTGTGGCTCCTGGAGTCCTTTAAAAACAGAGAATCTTGTTCATAGAAGCTTTCTAAAAGTGGAATTGGCCTTTAAAACAAGATATATTGCCTCTGATATGTCTTTTAAAACAAAAAATAAGTTATTTGGTATGTTTTTTTAAAAAACAACCTATAAGTGGACATTTAGCCACATCAGTTTTCTGGGGGAGGGGTAAGTTAGAGGGTATCGTTCATCACAGTCCCTGGGCAGGGGAACCTGTCCCATGCACCCACATGACTTTTCCATTCTTGCTTAGGATCATTAGCTCATGAAAGAGCTTTAGTAGATGGGTTCAGCATCTGATCAAGTCCAGCATCCTATTTTCTGCAGCACACAACTTGATGCCTCAAAGCAAAACAAGAAAGTAGCAGATGCACCAACTCCAGCAGTTGTTTTCTGTGTTATATTATCCCTGAATATGGATTTCCTTCTCTTGAGTAATGTGATAGAGTTCCTCTTTGAAGTCGTGGACAATCACACCTGTTGTTCCAGTTAACTTATCAAAATTAAGTATTTTCTTTTGTTCATCTTATACTGTAGATTGATTTTTTAGGTTAACTCTGTGTCCTATTATGATAAAAGAGACAGCATTACTACCTTCCCCCATTCATAATTTTAGAAACCCTTGTCATGTGCTATTTTTGAAATGTGACAATCCATACTCTGTGTCGGGGTGTTATAAATCTTGCTGGGCTATATGTCCTAGAGTTTCTGCGGTGGCTTGCTTAGTTGGGAATTATAGTCTGCAAACATATGGAGGGCTACACATTGTGTACAATATTCCAAATATATCTGTTCTGTATTAGAATGCATGTTTATCTTCAGATTGATAATCCCTGAAATTGCAATACTGTGCATGCCTCTTTCAGAGCTATTAAAGGTAAAGGTTTTCCTGACATTAAGTCCAGCCATGTCTGACTCTGGGGGTTGGTGCTCATCTCCATTTATAAGCTGAAGAGCCAGCATTGTTCGTAGACTCCTCCAAGGTCATGTGGCCGGCATGACTGCACAGAGCACTGTAACCTTCCCATGTTTTTGAACTGCTAGGTTGGCAGAAGCTGGGGCTGACAGCGGAGCCTATGCCGCTCCTTGGATTCGAACCTACGACCTTTTGGTTAACAAGTTTAGCAGCTCAGCGGTTTAACCCACTGCGCCACCGTGGGCTTCCTTTCAGACTGAATGCCTATTAATTCCAGAATTACTCAGAAGTCCTTACTTGGCAAGGACTGAAGATTTAGAATGATTTTTTTGCTCCTAATAATGGCCATTGGGTACAGATGATTTTCACTGAAATATCATAGAGAACCCCATCTCTTTCCTCCTGTCAGTGTATATGTGTAGATGGGATTCTTGGAAGTCAAGTGGATATCATTTTCCATTGTGTATACCATTGTGACGCAGGAGATTAAACTGCTGAGCTGCTGAACTTGCTGACTGAAAGCTTGGCAGTTTGAATCCGCAGAGCGGGGTGAGCCCCTGCAGTTAGCCCCAGCTTCTGCCAACCTAGCAGTTCAAAAACATGCAAATGTAAGTAGATCAATAGGTACCACTTCGGTGGGAAGGTAATGGTGCTCCATGCAGTCATGCTGGCCACATGACCTTGGAGGTTTATATGGACAACGCTGGCTCTTTGGCTGAGAAATGGAGATGAGCTCCAACCCCCCAGAGTCGGACATGACTAGACTTAATTTCAGGGGAAAACCTTTACCTTTGCCTTATACTACATTTCATTTGCCTTGTTGTCCTTCATCCAATTGGAAGAGACTTCTTTGGAATACTTTGCAGAGTGTTTGATTTTTCGCTTAGCGTCATGTGCAAATTTGGCTCCCATTCTAATTTAGAAATGACTTCACCAGCAGTGCCCTTATAATTAAGAGACCTTGCTTCTGGGTTTCACCCACTATGAAAGCTTTGCTTTCTTTTCTTAACTAATCCCTGCGCCTCATTCTAATAAATTCATTTAGTAGCTTTAGGAGTTTTTTTTAAAAAAAAAGCTTTTGAAAAAGATAACATATAATGTCATTACTTTAACACCTTAGTTGGCATGCCCTTTGTTCCCTCCTCCTTCAAAGGAAGCAATTATGTTTACAAAAGCAAAAGTGCTCCTCCCCCCCCCCCCTGCTTTCGTTTCATAATCCTAGCTTTTGTAAGTAGGCTGGTTGCCATAGATGTTAGGAGAACTATGTAATATCCTGGGCCTTGCCCGAAGAATCAGAATAGTCAAATCTCAAAACAATCACTGAGTCACGGAAGTATAAAAAGTGGTGCCTTGGATTACAATATACCATATAATGATGTGCTAACCTTTGGCTTTTCAGACATTTTTTATGTTCAGCTCCCCAAAGTCATTGTCAGAATAATTAGAGATAAAGAATTAAGACACTTCTACTGCAGAACATTTGGAGGACTGGAAATTTCCCACTCCTTCTGTCTAATCATAAGAAAACAATGTGTGTGTGTGTGTGTGTACCAGCGATCAAATCACCTGTTGAGCAGACCTCGATGGTGCAGTGGGTTGAACCCTTGTGCCGGCAGGACTGAAGACTGACAGGTTGCAGATTCAAATCTAGGGAGAGCGTGGATGAGCAACCTCTGTCAGCTCCAGCTCACCCTGTGGGAACATGAGAGAAGCCTCCCACAAGGATGGTAAAACATCAAAACACCCAGGTGTCACCTGGGCAACATCCTTGCAGACAGCTAATCCTCTCACACCAGAAGTGACTTGCAGTTCCTCAAGTTGCTCGTGACACGAAAAAACAAAACAAAATCAAAACCTGTTGACCCTTGATGACCCTATGAATTTCATAAGGTTTTCTTTGGTAAAGGTTCCTCATAGGTGATTTTGCCAGTTTTTTCATCTGAAAGGTAGCCCACAGCATGTCCTATTACTTGGCCATTTCCCACTTAATCAGGGCTCACTCTGCTTATCTTCCAAGATCAGATCAAATCTGGTAGCTTTAGAGTGTTAAGTCCTCAAAACAACAGTACATTAACCCATAATGTTTCTGTAAACAATTAAGGAGAAACCTAGTAGCACCCCAATTTGAAATCCTCAGTACAACCTAAGATACCTGCAGAATCATAGAACCACAGTTGGAAGAGACTTCGTGGGCCATCCAGCCCAACCCCCTGCCAAGAAGCAGGAAAATTGCATTCAAGGGACCCCCAACAAGAGGTCATCCAGTCTCTATTTAAAAGCCTTCGAAGAAGGCGCCTCCGGGGCAGAGAGTTCCACTGCTGAACAGCTCTCACAGTCAGGAAGTTCTTCCTAATGTTCAGATGGAATCTCCTTTCCTGTAGTTTGAAGCCATTGTTCTGCATCCTAGTCTCCAGGGTAGCAGGAAACAAGCCTGCTCCCTCCTCCCTATGACTTCCCCTCACATATTTATACATGACCCTCATCATGTCTCCTCTCAGCCTTCTCTTCTGCAAGCTAAACATGCCTAGCTCTTTAAGCCACTCCTCATAGGGCTTGTTCTCCAAACCCTTGAACATTTTAGTCGCCCTCCTCTGGACACATTCCAGCTTGTCAATATCTCCCTCTTCAATTGTGGTGCCCAGAACTGGACACAGTATTCCAGGCGTGGTCTGACCAAGGCAGAATAGAGGGGGTAGCATGACTTCCCTCGATCTAGACACTAGATCAGCAGTGGAACTCTGAGTTGATGCAGCTTCTGCAATGCTTACCGTTTCTTTTTATGCCCTACCAGTTTGCTGATAAAGGAGCGACATGCTGTTCTGACTTTTGCTCACATGCACACACTCCACTTTTATCTGAGGCAGCTGTACTCTAGTGGGTTTGAATCTAAATGAGCTTTGTTGACCTTTCCCAACACAAAAAACTTGTGAGATCCACCTTCCCATAGCTAACTCTGTGTAAGATTGTATCTGTACTCACATATGTCTGTATGTTCAGCTGGCTGGGATTGATTCGTGTGTGGTGTATGTAATAGGTTAGCATCCTTTTTGGTATAAGCTGTGTGTCTTCTTACAGGAGCCTCTTTGTCATTTAAAATCAAAAGGTGTATAGAGGAAATGAGAGGGAAGTTGGTAGATCAATTACAATTTATTCTAGAATAGGGGTAGAAAAACCTTTGGCTCTGCTGCTTTGAATGTTCAAAAGACCTAAGCTTCTTCATCCCACCCCCATTCATGTACGGTTGGGCCAACTGTTTCACTTCCAAGTATAGTGCTTGCAAAGGAGACAAGAAAATGCAAGTAAAGACCATCTGGCTTAGTCATGGTTATAGTTGGCACTTTGTCAACTCGTTTCAGCTCTTAACAGTGTAGTTTGTGATGAAATGAGTTTAAGATCTGTTTTGTGGGACCAGGTATGAGGAAATCTAGGTCTAAATCCCCACTAGGCTATTCCATTGCAAGTTCTGCTTTATCTGTACTTCAGATACCCTAGAGCAGCTTATTTATGATTCACAATCTGCTATTTCTTGGGACTTTCCAAACAAAAGCTGTGCAATTTGATTAGCATAGCTGTAATTAAGAACTCCTCCTCTTGCCGGTTGCAAAGTTGCTTAAGAGCCAGCACACCAGAACATAAACAAACCACTTCTGTAACCCACAGCCCTTAGAGTCCTCCATTCTGCATTGCAACTAGGCACATTGGCTGGGAGATGGAACTTTTCCAAGTTCTATATCTAATTCCAAGAGCGAGGCAGGAGGTATGTTCTCCAAGTTCAACATTTAATCATGAAGGCAAGAAAGAAAAGCCTGCTAAGTAACATGACCCAAGAAAGTGGTCTGAAATGAACATGCCAGAACATCTGGTTAAGGCAGAGATAGGAATCAGCCAACCATCTGGGTGCTTTTTCACATTATGCAATTCTAATATTATGAACCCATGAAATCCTGGGATTGCCACTTGAGGGGAGGGCATTCATTGTGCTAAGCCAAGGCACTCCCCTGTTACCTTTGACCAAGCTACAAATGCCAGGATCCCACAGGGTGCTGCCTTAGCAATTAAAGTGGGATAATAGCACCATAACTGTGTAGTGTGAAAGGGCCTCATATGTTGGTACTGAACTACAGTTCTCAGCATTCTTCAACATTTGTTGTGCTGGCTATGATTGTTGGGAGTTGCAAACTTGACAACTTCTGGAGGGCCTCATAGTTCCAACTCTGTTTAAAGTTACTGCAAACAAAATATGAATCCCTGCCTTTTTATTTGCTTCTTCTTTGACCTGGTGGCGCAGTGGGTTAAACCCCTGAGCTGCTGAACTTGCTGATCAAAAGGTTGCTGGTTCAAATCTGGGGGGTGGGGTGAGCTCCTGCTGTTAGCCCCAGCTTCTGCCAACCTAGCAGTTTGAAAACATGCGAGTAGGTAACAGCGCTCCATGCAGTCATGCCGGCCACATGACCTTGGAGGTGTCTACAAACAATGCTGGCTTTTCGGCTTAGAAATGGAGATGAGCACCAACCCCCAGAGTTGGACACGACTGGACTTAATGTCAGGGGAAAACCTTTACCTTTGACCTTTCTTCTGAAACAAAAACATTCACTGTACTCATCAAGGCTTTGGCTCTTTCTCTAAGCCAAATGCAACCTGGGCCCAATAGTCATCCTTTGTCTTGTTGACCTGATATTCTTCAGCTTAAATGGTGCTGAATTGCTCAGAAGGTAGGGATGCAAATATAATAGGATGGTGATATTAACTGTTTTTATAGTGCATTCCATTGAACAAGAGCTTCCTGCTCTCCTTAGTGACAGTGAGTCACCAGAGAATATGAAAGGGAGTTCATCCCATTAGTTTAGTAGCAAATGCTTTTCAAGCTTTTTGCGGGGAGGAGGATGTGCTGAGAGGAAGCACTTTTTGACTAGTAGGTTTCCAGGAAGGTCTAAAGGACCATAGAAATTAGACTGCATTGGTCCTATGGGGTATGCCATTTTAGGAAGGCAACATTGATTCTCCTCAGATGCAGAGGCCAGGTTCCATGCCCATTATAACTCATTGTTTATTCCTTTCTACAGGCATCGACCGCTATTCACTCTGATGATGGGAAAGACCACTTTCTACCCAGCACCTTGGGTTACTGCCACCGTGTCTCTTAAGCAGGGGAGCCAGACAAGGTGGGGCTTATCCATGCAGGACAATGGTGAATGAAAGCAAGAGAAGGAGGGGTAAAATGGGAGAGGGGGAGAATTTGGACTTCGGCACTGTTGGAAGAGGTTCATCCCCTTCAACATACTACAGTGTTCTGCTAGCAAGCTTGCTACAGAGAGGAGAGACTGCTGGTCTTCGCTGGCCACTTCATCTGTTGTCCCTTGCCTCTTTCACTAGCCCACTGCTGACAGGAGATGATGTGCCTGGGTGTACGTAGGACTTCAACTTGCTTCAAAGCCACCTTACTTCAGCCTAAGCCATTTGTTTGAAATGATACTACTGCTTTGGATCCAAGAGCAATTAAGGCTACTCACCTTCTCAAAGGAAAGCTCAAGTAGCAGCCACAGGCAGCTGATTTGTTTAAAGCAGATCCCATTGCTTGACCACAGAGGAAGATTTCCCCCATTTGTCTATCCTATTTTGGAGGGGCAGGGGGGGAAAGGCAGGTTCTTCAGAGCTGCCTCCAGTACAAGACTGAGTAACAAATGAGCAAATTCATTGTTTTTTTCCTTCATGTTTCATCAAGTCAGCAATAGTGAGAGGAATAATTCATTTTACAAGAGAGGTAGGCACTGGATGCTTGTAAACTGCTAAGCCCCTCTCAAAATGCATTTCCTCTTGTTACTAGACCAGTATGGGGCAGGAAACCTCTGGCCTTTTCAAAATCTGTTGGACTGCAACTCTATTCTGGACTAGAGTTCCTGAGACCTGTAATACAAGAATATCACAGAGGGCAATCCTGCAACAATAGCCAATGCCATGTTTTTTGTATATTTGTAGCACAGGGAACCTGGCTCACAGCAGTTCAAGGCTTGAGGCCGGTAGGTAGGGATGATAAGTTTTGTAGTAGTCCCAATACCAGGAAATTTTCAAGTTCCCCATCCCTGTGCTAGAAGGTAGGTAACATGTTTCCAACAGAGTTTATAATGGTGGGATCTTGAATCAGGAATGGGTACACTTTCAGTGCTTGTTCTCTTATTTTCTGTTCATTAAATTTTCATATTAAGACACAAATAACTCTACATGATTACAAACTATGATGGCTGCTTTGGTCACTGCAAGGTACTTATCATTCCAATGCAGGGAGGGGTTATTGCAGATATCTAAACGATCTTCCTTTCTTTCAATATACATTTTGTACTTCCACTTTCAACACACAATGATGACTCTTGAGCTTCCTCAAAGTTGGAATTCCTAGTCCAGCTGGCATTTCTGCTATGTTTATATAACAAGGAACAATGTGTCTCCGAAAAGAGACCAGAAGGAGCATGCACTGGAAAACAGCTGAAAGCACACAGTGCAGGTAGGAGCCATTATCTGGTATGAGAAAGCCCAGGGTCAGTGTTGGGCATAACTGTTGAGAAGACACGGTCAGACTAATAGTTTGATCTTGTTTATTAAGATTGCAGAAGCCTCTTAATATATTTTACAAAGAATAATGCACCCAAAGTATTTTATTTTAAAGTGGCTGAACTACAACTCTCATTAGGACTAGACGGCATAGTCAATAGTCAGTCGAATTGCAGCCCAGCAGTCTTGGATAAACCAGCTGATGTTTCCCCCTTCCAACAGCTTCTTATGAGTGAAATGACAGCAATTACTGGAAAACTCATTTATCCCTTTTCCTTTTCACCATTACATGACACTACTATATTTTTACAATGAGCAATGGATCAAAAATGGTAGTGGTTGTGCATATGTAACTCTCCTTTCGGCCAGCTGCCCAGTTCCCAAGAAAATGACCCCAGAACACTCAAGCCTCAAATCTCACAGTGTCAGGTATGAATGGCAGCCTGTATGTATACTCATTGCCCTGGGTACAGTTTTATCACCCTTCCCAATACATCAAAGGTAAGGGTTTTGCTCTTCTGAGAACTCTTGCTTATTGGAGGTGTAGTAAGACCAGATCTGAGAAGATGATCAAGGATAAGCTACTATCAAGAGATGAAGTAACACATTTCGCCCTGCTCTGGAAGGACACTACTCCAAGGCCTGGAGATTTCCTGGAAGGTGAAAAGGCAAAGCAGATACACCATAACATATAGTAGGTATAACAGCACAGTTCTTGGTGGCAGGTGGAACAAGTAGCCTCTTTACTGTGGAAGTGGAAGGGTTTTCCCTGTCTTCTTGGTCCAGGGATCATTTCTTGTAGACAAAAATGGAGGAGCTTTACCTAGTAGGGGACAAAATTATACGATCACCAAGTCCATCTGAAATGGGGGTCAAGATGGCACCCACCTTCCCCATTCCATCTAGAGAAGCTGGTTGGGCAGACAGTTAAATCTTACTGCAATGCTGGCTATGCAAGTTGTAGGGTAGGCTGACTGGAGCATCCAGCTCTGATGGCAGGGGACTACTGTCTGCCCCCCATACCACAAAGTATCTTCTATCCAAGGTTATTGCCTCTCACAGCCTAATGTCATGGTTGGCTAGCCCCTCCAACCATTACTTTGGCAATAAGAGCTCATGGCAGACAGAAACAGGCTAGGATCCTATCCAACAGGTAAAGGTGACATCCTCACCTCGGAGAAAGGTTGGATTGTATGCTAATTTGCCGACCTGGTGACAGTCTTTGTTGTTGTTGTTCATTCATTCAGTCGTTTCTGACTCTTCGTGACCTCATGGACCAGTTTGTGCCAGAGCTCCCTGTCGGCCATCACCCCCCCCCCCCCCCCCCCCCCCCCCCCCCCCCCCCAGCTCCTTCAAGGTCAATCCAGTCACTTCAAGAATGCCATCCATCCATCTTGCCCTTGGTTGGCCCCTCTTCCTTTTTCCTTCTATTTTCCCCAGCATAATTGTCTTCTCTAAGCTTTCCTGTTGTCTCATGATATGGCCAAAGTACTTCATCTTTTCCTCTACTATTCTTCCCTCCAATGAGCAGTCAGGCTTTATTTCCTGAAGTAAGGACTGGTTGGATCTTCTCGCTGTCCAAGGCACTCTCAGAACTTTCCTCCAACACCACAGTTCAAAAGCATCTATCTTCCTTCACTCAGCCTTCCCTATCATCCAGCTTTCACATCCCTAGGTGACTATGGGGAAAACAGTTTTTTTGTTACCTGCCCCCAATAAATCCATCCCTGTGACAATGCAGTACTATGTTGCTACTAGCCCACTTTGTATATTACTTACAAAAGCGGGAGAGTGTAGTCATATCTTGCTGGGGAGACAGCCACTTACTGGAATCTTCTGAATGGGTGAATTCTTTTTAGGAGAGGAGAGATGACTATAAAGTTGCTCTGTGGGGGGAGAAGCAGAGAGCAGGATTAGACCCATTTTTAGGGTCACTAGCACTGAACAAAGTATGTCCCTTTCCACTTTTCAGAGAATCATAGAATCATAAAATTTGAAGAGATCTCATGGGCCATCCAGTTCCACCCCCTGCCAAGAAGCAGGGAAATTCTGTTCAAAGCACCACCACGAGATGGCCATCCAGCCTCTGTTTCAAAGCTTCCACAGAAGGCGCCTCCACCACTCTTTGGGGCAGAAAGTTCCACTGCTGAACAACTCTCAAAGTTAGGAAGTTCTTCCTAATGTTCAGATGGCATCTCCTTTCCTGTAGTTTCTTCTTCCCCAAATATCAAATGCAACATACCTTGCACATTCACTCCATTACTCTGTTGCACTGAGGGTACCATATTTTCCTGCTCTTCTCCCACAAACTGTTGCCAAAATTTGAGTGGCAATGCCAAAAGGCTTGAAACTACCTGTGGGAAGAAATTAGTCTTTCACTACCATCTCCCACGGAATTCTTTTTGTTGTTGTTGTTCACTTCCATCAGCTGGCACTTGACGAATACTTTCAGGCTGGGGTTATCTGTACCTCACCCTCCTTTTCTCATGGACTCTGTTTATAAGACTACACATAACTTGTCTGGGCTAAAAGTATTTAAAAAATACAAACATGGGAAAAATAGATCAAGGCTGTTGTAAGAGGATATTTAAACCTGATGAAATGAAACTGCCATCATCTCCTGTGATAGGTTATGATGCCAGTGCTGAACGGGAGCTAGTCCAGCAAGTGGTTGCCTATCCTTGTCAAGCATATCTATGATGGCAGTGGGACTGAGATGAAGCTTTACCTCAAAGATCTTAAATTGAGGGAGACTTTTACATGGAGATAAGGAATTACATTATGGCCAGATGTGATGCAACTTCTGATCAAACATACGTGGGTGAAAACTGGCATGCATTCCTTGTGTAGTTGCCTATGTTTGCTTTTTTTAAAAAACCTTGTTCCTGGCAGTTAAGGTGTTTGCAAAAAGGTACCATCTGTGTGAAGGGCTTGATGAAGTCTCAGAAACCAGCAGGCTACTAAGCAGGATTTTAATAGGTTTTCAGGCATTCTTGCTGTTCTCCTTCCCAGTAGTAGTAGAGTGGTTCCAGGCTCAAGAAAACAGGCTCTGTCCTGCCAATTGCAGCAGAAGCAAAACCAGGACCAGAAAAGTCCCAAGTATTTTCTTGATGTACAGAGCAAACACTGTATGTCCATTCCTATGAACCTGTAGATGGCTGGAAGAAATTAAGAGTGTGAACATATGCAACAAACATGACACTTCTGTTACCCGGCATTGGTGCGGTGTGTCTTTCATGATGGTGAGTGGGGTAGGATTGGGGGTACTGTGTCCTACCAATGTTGGTCCAAAGATCCGTGCCAGGTTATCCTGATCCATACGACATGCAGGGCTCCGTATAATCCTGGGGATGGAAAAAGGACCCATGGATTCAACAGGTACAACAAGAACCATCCTGCATAGAAGAGCAGGACATTACTTCAGGGCTAGCAACAAACATTCATGCCAGCCACATAATGAACTTTGGGCCACAACCAAAGGCCGGGAATCTTTGCTCCTCCTTGTATTTCAGATAATCCTTTAAATCAGTCATGCTTCTAAGAACAGAAGTCCAAAACATCTGGAGGTCCCTCCTGTTCCTCATTAAAGACTGGAAACCAAAAGAAATTTCCCCGACATCCTTTGGTTGAGTTATACCACAATTCCCATAATTCTTAAACCAGTTTAACCTTTGCCGATGCTAGTGATGCATAATGTGTCAAGTAAGTAACACTGGCTAGTGCTTCTGGGAGCTGGAGGCCAAAACTGGAGGGCTGCAGGTTCTGCAAGCATGTCCTAGAAATACTTTTGACTGTTGTACTCCAAAACATTTGGAGAGCCAAAGGTTGTTTACATTGTATAATTTTATTGTGTTATATTTAATTTTTGTTTGGGCTTGTCCTCATGTAAGTCACCCCGAGCCCCTTCAGAGAGATGGTGGTGGGATACAAAAATAAAGTTATTATTATTATTAGGTTCTTGTGGTTTTTTTTCGGGCTATAGGGCCATGTTCTAGAGGCATTTCTCCTGACGTTTCGCCTGCATCTATGGCAAGCATCCTCAGAGGTAGTGAGGTCTGTTGGAAATAGGACAATGGGACAATGTCCACCTCAGACATCAGAACCTCTGAGGATGCTTGCCATAGATGCAAGGCGAAACGTCAGGAGAAATGCCTCTAGAACATGGCCATATAGCCCGAAAAAACCCACAAGAACTAGTGATTCCAGCCATGAAAGCCTTCGACAATCTTATTATTATTGTTTATTATTATGATTACGTGATACATCACAACAGTCCTAGACACCCAGGACTCCAAACAGAAGTATTTTCAAACTCATAACAACTGTGGAACAATTGTGGCACAAGCAGGTATTTAATAAGTGAATAATAATAATAATAATAATAATAATAATAATAATAATAATAGCCAATACATCACACAGTCCCAAATGCTTGGGAAGTGTCTGGCGTGTGATCCAATACAACAGCCAGCAGAGTGAGCTTGTCTGCTGTGGACTCATCATGTTTCAAATAATAATAATAATAATCTATATATATAAATCTGTTAGGTTGGTTCAACCGGACAGCAAAACTCACAAACCCCCCAACGAAACTTAACCAAAATTCCCATGCCCATAACACAACCCACAAGGTACAAACATATCTACTCAAAATGAAAAACAACACAACAACACACTCACAAAACGGCAAAACAACAAAACTAAAAAAAAACCCCAACAAAACTTAACCAAAATTCCCATGCCCATAACACAACCCACAAGGTACAAACATATCTACTCAAAATGAAAAAAACACAACAACACACTCACAAAACGGCAAAACAACAAAACTAAAAAACCCCAATGAAACTTAACCAAAATTCCCATGCCCCTAACACAACCCACAAGGTACAAACATATCTACTCAAAATGAAAAACAACACAACAACACACTCACAAAACGGCAAAACAACAAAACTCAGAAACCCCCCAAATGAAACTTAAACAAAATTCCCATGCCCATAACACAATCCACAAGGTACAAACATATCTACTCAAAATGAAAAACAACACAACACACTCACAAAACGGCAAAACAACAAAACTCACAAACCCCCAACGAAACTTAACCAAAATTCCCATGGCCATAACACAACCCACAAGGTACAAACGTATCTACTCAAAATGAAAAACAACACAACAACACACTCACAAAACGGCAAAACAACAAAACTCAAAACCCCCAACGAAACTTAACCAAAATTCCCATGCCCATAACACAACCCACAAGGTACAAACATATCTACTCAAAATGAAAAACAACACAACAACACACTCACAAAACGGCAAAACAACAAAACTCAGAAACCCCCCAAATGAAACTTAAACAAAATTCCCATGCCCATAACACAACCCACAAGGTACAAACATATCTACTCAAAATGAAAAACAACAAAACAACAGATGCTCCATCACTCCCCCCACCGCCGCACACACACACACAACCCCACTCCCCCTGCCGCCGCAAACACACACAGAACCCCATGCTCCATCACTCCCCCCACCACCACACACACAAACGCAACCCCACTCCCCCCACCGCCGCACACACATACACAACCCCACGCTCCATCACCTCCCCCCACCGCCGCACACACACACAGCAACCCCACGCTCCACCCCCCGCCGCACACACACACGCAACCCCACGCTCCATCACTCCCCCCCGCCCACCCCCACTCCCCCCGCCGCACACACACACGCAACCCCACGCTCCATCACTCCCCCCCGCCGCACACACATACACAACCCCACGCTCCATCACTCCCCCCACCACACACACACACGCAACCCCACGCTCCATCACTCCCCCCGACGCCACACACACACACACAACACGCTCCATCACTCCCCTGCCCCAATCTTACCTCCTTTTACTTCACGCCACCTCCAAACCCCACCCCGCCCCTTTCCGCCCTGTCAAAATCCAGGAAAGGAAGGAAGGAAGGAAGGAAGGAAGGAAGGAAGGAAAGAAGGAAGAAAGAGAAAGAGAGGTAAAGAAAAAGGGGGAAATAAGGAAAGTTAGAGAAAGAAGGAAGAAAAGGAAAGAAAAGGAAAGATGGAAGGAAAGAAAAGAGAGAGCAGAAGAGAAAGAAAAAAGGGGAAGGAAGGAAAGAGGTAGAGAAGGAAGAAATGAGAGACAGAGGGAGGGAAAGAAAAAGGGGGAAGGAAGGAGAGAAGGAAAGAAAAAAGGGAATGAAGGAAGGAAAGAGGGAGTGAAGGAAGGGGGAAGATGTAGAGAAAGAGGGAGGGAAGGAAAGAAGGAAAGAGAGAAGGAAGAAAAGAGACCAGAAGAGAAAGAAAAAGGGGGAAGGAAGGAAGGAAGGAGAGAAGAAAAAAGGGAATGAAGGAAGGAAAGAGGGAGTGAAGGAAGGGGGAAGATGTAGAGAAAGAGGGAGGGAAGGAAAGAAGGAAAGAGAGAAGGAAGAAAAGAGACCAGAAGAGAAAGAAAAAGGGGGAAGGAAAGGAGAGAAGGGAAGAAAAAAAAAAGGAATGAAGGAAGGAAAGAGGGAGTGAAGGAAGGGGGAAAATGTAGAGAAAGAGGGAGGGAAGGAAAGAAGGAAAGAGAGAAGGGAAGAAAAGAGACAGCAGAAGAGAAAGAAAAAGGGGGGAAGGAAGGAAAGAGATAGAGAAGGGAGAAGGAAAGATGGGAAAGCAGGAAGGAGAAGAGGAAGGAAAGGAAGAAGGAAGGAAGGAAGGAAGGAAGGAAGGAAGGAAGGAAGGAAGGAAGGAAGGAGAGAAAGAGGAAGGTTGGCCACAGCAATACGTGGCGGGTAAAGGTTGTTATTTCTATTATTATTATGCTATTATTCCTATGAGACCCTTTTAGGGGGAATGGGAGAGGTGTCAGGTCCCAGAGGCAATGCATTGCATTATTGTTATTGTTATGATGGGGGTGAAATAAAAGGAAATAAAAAGTGAAAGAAGGAAGCAAACAGGGAGGGAAGAAAGGCAAAGGAAGAAAGGGGGAGGGAATGAAGGAAAGAGAGAAGGATGAAACCAAGTAGTGAAAGAAGGAAAGAAAGAAAGAGGTAGAGAAGGAAGAAAGGAGAGAAAGGGGAGGAAAAGGGGGAAGGAATAGGTAGGTACCTCTCTTTCATAATAGTCCAGATATCTACCTCAACTTTGATAAGTTTTACTATAGGCCACAGCAACGCGTGGCAGGGCACAGCTAGTAATAATAATAATAATAACAACAATAACAACTTTATTTACATTCCACCTTATCTCCTCGAAGGGACTCAGGGCAGATTCCAATCACAAAAAGTCAAACATTCAATGCCTGAATACAACAAACAATACATAAATAAGAAAAAATAATAACCCAGGATTTTCGAAAAAATCATAACATAACTTCTAAAATTAAGGTATAACACAATCTATCAATTTATCAATTAAAGCTGGCATCCTAAAACAAGGAGCTCCATGTCCAGCTGCTTATGTCTTTTTTTGAACAAAGCAAAAGCTTTACCCCTTCGTCCACCATCCCAACCCTCCCTCTTGCAGTAGTCAAACCCTGGGAGGAGTTGCTGCTGCTTCTCATGATAGTGGGACAATTCATCTATTGATGAACCAGATCTTATCTCAGAAGATGAAGAAAGCAGGTCTGTTTTCTGTTCACATATAGGAAGAAGTACTCCTCCTGTTCCCCTTGGAGATGGATTTGCCAGTTAGTAGCAGTGGCCCCTCCTAGTAGCAGTGGCCCCTTGGAGATGCACCACCAGTTCGTAGCAGTGGCCCCTCCTATGGCTTCACAGCCATGAGGGAAAGGGGATTTTGAACATTGTCTGAAAGACTACAAAACAAAACCTGGTACTCCAGGAAAAATGTATTTTCATGACAAAGCCACAGATATGTGCATATGTTACTGACAAGATTCCGACCTAACATGTTCTGAACATAACACTGATTTCAAAATAGTTTTTTTAGAAACTACAAAAGAAAAGAACACTAGTAAGAAATATTACTAGTTCTGACATGACACTTCTTGTGCAAAAAGAGGTGTCTATGACACACGCACTGGAGAAATGGGTGTCAGCACTTTTCAAAAGCAACAGGATGAGAACAAATGTCACATACATTGTGCAGAAGGATGTAGGCCAAAGGGAAAATGCTTCACGAGAGAATAATGTGCATCTCTGATAAAATGAAATGAAGCTACACAGCCAAGCTAGGCCTTTGTCTTTAAAATGGTGCACAATTCACCATTGTACTAAGCCCTTAACATAAAACCTCATCCATACAACTGAGTCACTGTGAAAGTATATGTTACTGCAGTTCATGTACATGCTATGCTTTTTGCTTTCATCAGGCAAGAGTATTCATAAAGATGGGGAAAGTTCTGAATAAGCTTGTGTCTCAGACTTTTAAGTATGCTTGGAAAAGTTGGGTTATTTTGCATTGCAACTCCCAGATGTTTCCAATCACCCAAAAAAGCAACTCTTCCCAATTTTTTTTATGTCTAAGACCAACGATCTAGACTGGCGGTGGAATCCTTCCCTTGCTGGAGGTCTCTAAGCACAGATCAGGGAGCCATGAGTTGGGAATGTTCTTACTCTGAAATGCCTTTAATGAGTTTAGATGGTTGACAAGATCCTTTCCAGGTTCCAGAATTGGGCCTAAAGCCATGCTCATTAACGCCTCACCTGTGCAGATGGAGCATGAGAAAAGCCAGTGTGTCCCTATTGGTCATAGGAAGTTTCATCACAACATTGCAGAGAGCAGTATTACGGGAAGGATCATCTGGAATTTCTGCGTGGACAGAAAGTGAGATACAAGTAAGATACTTAGCCTGCATACCTCTTATAAGAGGTTCTCCAAGAATAAGGACAGAATCAGTTATGGGTTGCAATGACAATATGTACTATTGCTTGGTCATTTTACAGGAAGCATGTTCTCCAGACCCTTGATCATTTTAGTCGTCCTCCTCTGGACACATTCCAGATATTGACAAGCTGGAATGTGTCCAGAGAAGGGTGACTAAAATGATCAAGGGTCTGGAGAACAAGCCCTATGAGGAGCAGCTTAAAGAGCTAGGCATGTTTTGCCTGCAGAAGAGAAGGCTGAGAGGAGACATGATAGCCGTGTTTCCTCTGAGAGGAGGAGAGGAAGTCATATGGAGGAGGGAGTAAGCTTGTTTTCTGCTGCCCTGGAGACTAGGATGCAGAACAATGGCTTCAAACTACAAGAAAGCAGATTCCATCTGAACATTAGGAAGAACTTCCTGACTGTGAGAGCTGTTCAGCAGTGGAACTCTCTGCCCCGGTGTGTGGTGGAAGCTCCGTCTTTTAAACAGAGGCTGGATGGCCATCTGTTGGGGGTGCTTTGAATGTGATTGTCCTGCTTCTTGGCAGGGGGTTGGACTGCATGGCCCATGAGGTCTCTTCCAACTCTATGATTCTAAGCAAAAACAATGAACAAAATTATAGGAATCACTCAAGCAGGCATCCTGAGGCATTACTCTCAACTATAAACAGACACAATATGGAGACCACACTTCCCATGCCCTGCTCCAGGAATGTATCACCCCAGAATGGCCATTTTCTCTTACAGATCTCTCTTAGCTTACCTGCCGCATGCAGGAAGGCAGAATGCAGGCAGAAGGTAACAAGGGGCTCCTTCAGATTCCTCAAGAAGTCCTTGAGAATGCCACAGATCACATTCACATCAGTGACATGATCAAGAGAAGGGAGTGATCTCTGGGATATTAGCAGTTTGTTTTTCCATTCCCGAACAAGATGCTCAGCACCTGGCACTCTATACAGTCCGGTCTGCAGTTGAGGAACAAAATGACAGAAAAGCACCAATGAGGTATACAGTGTTGGCCTGGAATTGCCAAGATGAATAATAAACAAGTGATGGCCAAATATGTTTTGGGATCTCCACCACACTCAATATTACTGTATCAATTCTCCAAGGAAAGTACTAGTTAAAAATAATATGTCCCATATGTAAGCTGCCCTGAGTCCCTTCAGGGAGGTGATGGTGGGGTAGAAGAATAAAGTTATTATATGCATTCCCATGGAAAAGTATACCTTCAGTTTATACAGAAGGTATAAACCCATTATACCTGGAGTTTAAACTTACTGGATTGTGTAAGTGACAGCCAAAACAAGCTATCGAATGATTTGATTGTGACATAAGAAAGAAGAGTAAAACAGAAGGAAAATTAGTTTTGGTTGAAAGAGCCAACTTGGATATCTTAAATGGTGGCCCAGGGAACCTTTCATGCACCCGCATAAGCCACAAGTTCTTTTCACTTACCTCCCTCAGGCCACGTTTTTCAACTTGATTCACACATTGAATCACTATAGGGGGCACCAGAGGTGGTGTGTGGGGTGCAAAATCAGCCAGAGTGCCCTGAAGGAGAAAAAAAGGCAGCAGAGTGTAGGAGGGATATTGAGATGGTAGCGGGGTACAAATAAAGTGTTGTTGTTGTTGTTATTATTATTATTATTATTATTATTATTATTATTATTATTATTATTCTATTCATAGTAAAAGAAAACAAATATGATTATAGCTTCAAGTGGGGATCCCAGTTGGAGGAATTCTGGGAATTGCATCCCCACAAAATAATTTCCCCAAGTTATGCTCCAGTTCTACATGTCATCAGAATTGCTCGCACACTCAGAAAAGCCAGCAAGCCAAATTATTATAATTAAACAAGCTTTGCATTCACCATGCTCACACTTAAATTCCACACCCACCTCTCTTGTTGTGGGACTGGCACGAGGTGTACACAGAACCAGGCAGCGTTCTTTGCACTCAGGATGCACCTGGATTTGGCAACGACGACATTTGAGAGCTGTTTTTCCGAAACATAGTCGGGATTTGCAAACTACACAACACTCCAAGCGGATCACCTTAGGTGGGGAACAGAATAGAGGGAATTAAGAAAGATTGAAGAGGGGGGAAACAATCAGGTACCCTCTGCCTGGCCACTTCACTGAAATCCAGCCTAGCTTTGTACTCAAAATAATATTCTGAGTAGACTTTAGCTTTCTACTTTGGGGAAATGTATCCTAGAGTACACCTGTCCTCTCTACCCCAGGCACAGGTGATACAGACCACCTTCCATGAAGAACTCTTGGAATTGCTCCCCCGGCAGAGAATGTACCACCTGGAAGCATTACTGAGGGAAGATGATGGTTGCCACCATGGAGTTCGGTGGCTCTGATTTCTCTTTCTTCAGTTATTATCCCAAGCCCTCCAGATCCTCAGTACTTAGGTACTGTTACCATCTTGGAAGTAAAGTGGTGCTGTTGGGATGTGGGTATTTCTTGAGGCAGAGGTGGAGTGACAGTTTCTTGAATACTCCTTTGTTTAGCCCCAGTTCCTATGTCAATGATGTTATTCCCAGCCCGAGTGCTACATCCAGGTGAATCCTCAGTCCTGTCCTGGATTGTCATGGGATCTGTAGAGAGAACAACCAGACTCGGGAAAGAACAAAAAATGGGTATGTCAATTTTGTCACTATTCTACCTTGCATCTCCCAACATGCATTGCCACATTCTTGGACTAGTTGATCTATCTTGGTGTAGACTTTCACTTGTAGGACATTCTGCCATGGAAATGAGTAGATGTGATTTGCTCTGTGGATATGAGTTTGTCCAGCAATTCTGGTTATGAAAATACAGAGAACTCACTGAGTTTGGAAATATGGTGCTTAACAACCTGTCACTTCTAACAAAGCCCCACAATCTTTATGATTAACCCATCCCTACACTTTTAAGGTTGCACCCTGCCATAATCGTTTTGGCTATTATTTCCAAATTGAAAATGAAAGTGGCACCTGAGTTTGTGGAGTCCCAACGGTTTGGTTGAGAACGGCGACGGGATGTTGCAGCAACTGGCACCAAACTGTTTTCAGCAATAACTCCAGATTTCAGGGTAACCACAGGCATCCCATTGACTTGGGAAGACTTAAGAGGAGGACACTAAAAAAGTGGCATTTGCTAATAATTTTGTTGTGTAATATTTGCAATATGTACTTTCTAGCAAGAAATCAATAATTGCAGAGAAGAATCTGTATCACCAAATAATTTATTTACAATTTATTTATTTATTTACGATATTTCTATCTCAACTTTCTCAAACCCGAAGGTGACTCAAGGGGACTCAAAGAAGTCTACTTAAATCTTTGAATGCTCTATCTCCCTCTGCTGCTGTGCTGAATAACTTAATTATCCATCTTTTCAGTTCCAAAACAACTGCCCATTCAAGCTTCTTCTTGTGAGAATAACATTACCGGGCCAATGAAAAAGCCCCAAATACATCATGCTTTCAATGCTCATGAGCTTTTTTAGTATGCAAAGATGGTATATGGCATGCAGGGGAAGGAAACATTTCTATATTTCCTCTAGTATCTCAAGTCAAGAAGGGAGAGATTGTGACCACAAGCCTGCATGCCATTTTACTATACTGCTTCATGAAAAAGCCTTTTTGAGTTTCTAAATCTATCATGATGTATTTTGTATCTTTTGGCTTGCTCCATAAAAGTATCGCTATGAGAAACTTCTTTGCAACTCACTATCCATTTCCTGCCTCATCTGACATTAGGTAATGGTCAAGCAAGAGTAAAACTAGATACAGTGCAGGAGTTTATGATATTTTACCATCCTTGTGGGAAGCTTCTCTCATGTCTCCACATGGGGAGCTGGAGCTGATAGAGGGAGCTCATCTGTGCTCTCCCCGGATTCGAACCTGCAACCTGTTGGTCTTCAGTCCTGCCGGCACAGGGGTTTAACCCATTGCGCCACTGAGGGCTCCTAGGTAACATCCTTGCAGACGACCAATTATCCCACACCAGAAGCGAGTTGCAGTTTCTCAAGTCGCTCCTGACATGATCAAAAAAGCCCAATATAATTAGTGGTAGCCACATAAAAAGTTTCTTGAGTATAACAACTATTTTCAAAGTAAGTATTGCACAATTAAACAGGAAATAACACTTTCAAACCAGGAAAGAAAATTTTCAAATTTTGTTACATAGAGTTGTCTTGTATTGAAAAATAGAGCTATGCATTCTTATACGACTTCTTTAAAATGAGACTGAAGCTAACATAGATTTACAAATGGTCACTTAACTTTACCAACCATGGCAGCCTTCTCCAACTACCCAGCACCTGACACCTTAATGTCTTATTTGACACATCACATGAACACATGCGTTCTTGCGCTGTATCATTACTACGTCATTTTTTTGTCGTGTCAGGAGCAACTTGAGAAACTGCAAGTCGCTTCTGGTGTGAGAGAATTGGCTGTCTGCAAGGACGTTGCTCAGGGGACACCCAGATGTTTTGCTGGTTTATCATCCTTGTGGGAGGCTTCTTTCATGTCCCCACATGAGGAGCTGGAGCTGATAGAGGGAGCTCATCCACGCTCTCTCCGGATTCAAACCTGCGACCTGTCAGTCTTCAGTCCTGCCGGCACAAGGGTTTAACCCACTGCGCCACCAAGGGCTCCATTACTATGTCATAACTTTGCATGAGAAATGTCTAAGGCTGCATCTACACTGTATAAGGTATTAATTTTACAGTGTAGATGCACCCTCAACTGAGTTTGTAATATCATCATGGGCAAGGCCAAACACTCTGGGTCATCTCACTCCCCTACAAATGCAAGGCACTGACAGATACTTACATTGGAAGAAGGGGAAACAGATGGCCTTGTCCGCTTGACTGCCAAAATTGGTTGAATGAGAGGTGCCAGGGAGGAGCGCTGAGGACAAAAAGAGGTGAAAGCAAGAAGAGGAGGGACTCCCATGTAATTCTGGCCAGGAATGGGAACGCTCCATTGAAATGTTTGTTACTCTTTCCAACCAACAGAATATTGAGAAAGCAGAGCAAAGTTGATGGCTGGATCCAGATAACAAGATTTTTGTGTACTTTAGAGCATGAAGTTTAACTTAAAATTACAAGTGGACACAAACGTCTGTTTTTCTCTATCATCAGTGACCTCTGGGGAAACAAATGTCTGTGAAAGCCACAGAACGTCATGGTATGGAGGGTGTTTCAGTTCAGGAAACAAGGAGCAAGTGTACAATAAGTAGCATTAGATATCCTCTAATATCATCTACTTACCCGTCTGGCTCTGCTTTTGAGAGGCCTTATTATGCCACGGTCCTTGGGGGTAAAAGAAAAGGAGGAGAAACCTGAGACACAAGCTTGAAATTTAGTTTAGCAGGGATTTTTTTTGTATTTTATGATGTTTCCAGTTGTTATTTTGTCAGTTAAGTTTAATCAGGTTGTATGGTATTGCTGAATGTGTTTATCTTGAAGTAATTGTCTGTATGGTTTCTTTCCAGCATTTGAATATTTTCCTTACATGTTGGAAACCGCCCTGAGTCACTTTGGGGAGATAGGGCAGGATACAAATAAAGTATTATTATTATTATTATTGTTATATCTACAGAACACTCTGATGTATTCTTATTTAATATATTTATGTCTCACACTTCCTTCAGCATTCAGGGCTGAACACATGGCTTTCATTTCCCCTCCTTTCTGTAACCAAGCATTTCCCCCCCAAAACATGTTTGTTTTTATAAGGAATACCCCCTTCCTTTCATATTTGTTAATTACCTGAAATGCATATCAAATTCTCAAAAAGATTCATAAGATAATTTCTGGAATGTGGGGGTTGTCTATTTGGCTCAATGTATTTTCAATATGGAGAATTGATTCCTTGATTTCTTCTGCCCAAAAGAGCTTAGACATAAGGTAAGCCTAGGTTCCCTGTGCAACAGTTATTGCAGCCATGGTAGCCACAGATCCTCCAAACTGTCTAAATCTATTGAAATGTTTGTATGTCTATAAGAAAATTACCTAGTGCCATGCAACTGGAAGCAAAACATTAAACCATCATTTTTTATGTCTCTACAAATATCATTCAAAAGGTGGAAACCCATCCAACACTTTTGCTGGATAGTCCTACCTACTGAAAATAATTTTAACAAGTGAAGGGAATGGATACTTGATGTTTCTTCCAGGTCTGCTCACAAACCCAATTACACTGCAACTCATGCTCAAAGCTTTTTTGGTTCTTCCATAACAAACCTATGTAGAATGGGTACTTACTATTTCCTCATCTGAGCGGTCAAAGCTGATGTCAGACAAAATCGAGGCGCCAAGTTCTTCCACTGCAGATAATCTAATCATTAAGAATAACAAAATGAGTCAGTAATGAATATTTACCTGGTATAATTTTAATCACTTCATCCTAGCCCATCTTACGGAGTCTCCTCTTCAAACAGCCATCAACAACATTTCCAAGTATCCACCCAATATGCTAGGAAAGTGGTATTTTGTTCAGCTCCTTACTTTTCAAGGGCACTATGAATGTTGGATAATGATGACAAAAAAGGCACTAACTATGAATACTTTTTAATACTTTCTACAAAGATTAATATAATTGCCTTAGAAAGTCTGTATATGGATTCCTGGTGACCTCAATCAAGACCAAAGGAGCCACTTTGTTTGCAGGAGACCACCATTTGAAAACCTAACAACTTCGTCTAAAGCAGTGATTCTCAACCTGTGGGTCCTCAGATGTTTTGGCCTTCAACTCCCAGAAATCCTAACAGCTGGTAAACTGGCTGGGATTTCTGGGAGTTGTAGGCCAAAACACCTGGGGACCACTGATCTAAAGGGATCAGGTGATTTGAGATATCTTTGACTGACAGCCTGGAGTGCTCCTGCCACCATGATTGCCAAACATGTTTTTGGACTTCTACTCCCCAAAGCCTTAAGGCTTCTAGGACGAAGTCTAGAACAGACCAGAGCTTGAGAAATACAGCAGTAGATAATGCTGGGCTTAGATATACAATATAAGGCAGACACATTGGTTGAAGCATGACACATTTCCTTTGTGGAAACCACTATACAAAGTGAACAAATGAGTTATCTTTAAATATGCAAAGGCTGTGAAGTAGAAGATGGTGCAGATTCCCATTAATAGAAAGGGGATTCCAACTAAATAGGATAGCAAGAGCTCACTGACACCTCCAAAGGTGAAAAATACTCCTTCATTGGAGGATTGTGAACAGAGCTTAGGTGGACATATCTGATGGGTTTTAGCAGTAAATTCCTGCACTGGCAGGAGTTTAGATCAAAGGAAAGTCACATGATGTTATTTTGCCACATGTACAGATAATCTATTGGCTACTCAATTGACCTCATCTCACTAGAGAATGAATCCACTTGAAATCCAGTTTCTGCCTCCTGCAGAATTCTGGGGTTTGTAGTTTAAGGAGGAGCCTTCAACAAACCTCAGAATTCTGCAGGAGGCAGAAAACGGATTTCAAGTGGATTCATTCTCTAATCTGATGAAGTAGTAATTTTTAATTTGCATGCTGGTCATTTACAAATCCATTATATGTCAATGGGAATTGTGTGGAAATTAAACAACTGTAATAAGGCCACACAGAGGAGCCTCATTGGGCAGGGCTCTGATTGAGTACCAGTACTGAAAATGCCATCTCTGTCATATCAACAGCCAAAATACATTTTGGTTATAAGATGGGTAGAAATATATCTATTTCTATATCTATACAGGAGACATTTTTTTTCCTAATAACTTGTTCCCACAATTTTGTTGCTTAGAGAGGCTACAGGATCGGATTTTTAAATTAGAGTTTACATTAGATTTATAGGCTACAGTTCCTGGAATCCTTTGAGAATGCCACGAGTTTTAATCTCCTAAAGTAACATTTCTAAGCTGTGGTCTTTGGTAAACTCACACTTCCCCCGGCATACAACGTTTGCCAGGCAGCAGGGTACTGTGGCTGGAACACTGATCTTCACCGAGAAGAGAAGTCTTTGAATCAGTCATCAGATAGGCATAGATAAGCTTCAGCTTGCGCTCCTGTTGGGGATGATGAGAGGTTTTTAGAGTTAAGAATACAACAGAACTGCCTTGTAACCGGCTTGTAGCCGTGTATGTGTTTTACCTCCCTCCCAAATTTTCAGGTTAAAAAACCCTCTGGTTTACTCATGAATTTTAACTGGTTAACCAAATCCCCATGCTAAGTCTATGACAGTAGTTCCCAACCTGTGGTCCGTGGACCATCAGTCGTCTGCAAGAACTAAAATATGGTTCGCAGCCTCACCATTACTATACCATTGCAACAAGAGCAACTGGTCTCGCGAAACCCTCTTATAGTGCCCTTCAGTTTCTGACTGATCAAGCTCATGTCCTAACAAACTAGAAGGCATCAGATATAGTCTGTTCTAGAAGCTGTGCAGTCATGCAAACTTGCTGCAGAGAGCTCTAAAGGGAAGGAGCAGGATAAGTTGGAGGAAAATGAGGTTTCAAAGGGAAAAGTTAAGAAGAGGGAACAAGAAATAAAGCTGTTGTGCTGAGAAAGGGTGAGCCATGAAAGAGATGAAAAAAGATCCAATTGTATTAGAAGTTGTGATGCCTGCCATAGATGCAGGCGAAACGTCAGGAGAGAATGCCTCTAGAACATGGCCATATAGCCCGAAAACACCTACAACAACCCAGTGATTCCAGCCATGAAAACCTTCGACAATACATTTAAGATCTAGACAGTTTTCTCCTCAACATTTATCACTGGATAGAAAGTGTGCTGTTCACCCTTATTCTGGCTCTACCACTATGGTTCTCCTTCTCCTACTCCTTTAGCACCTGCTTTTCTAGTTCGGCTTCTGCCCCATGCCTTTTCTTCATCTCCACCTCCACCTGGTTGCGGGCATGTTTCAACTTCACCTCCAGCCCTGAACGCTCAAATTCAGACCGCTGCAGCTGCTCTCGCAATTCCTTCAAGTCACGATCTAGTCGAAAGCACCGCTGGCGCATCACCTCAAGACATCGAGTGATCTGAAGATATTCTAGGGGAAGTAGGCAGAAGTTTTGCATCAGGATTTGAGAATAAGGAATCTCTATGACAGCCAGCATGGTGCAGTGGTTTGAGTGTTGGACTAGAACACTGGGAGACTTGGTTCAAATTCCTGGGCTGCTGTGAAAATCTATTGGGTGATCATAAAATTATAGAACTAGAAAAGACCTCCAGGGCCACAAAGTCCAATACCCTGAACTGCAGAAACATACAATGAAAACACTCCTGACAGATGGCCATCCAGCCTCTGTTTTAAAACCTCCAAATGAGATTCCACAGAACTGTGAGGCTTCTACTGCCAAACAGCTTACAGTTAGGAAGTTCCTCCGAATGTTTAAGTGGGACCCCGTTTTCCTGTAGTTTGGGCAAATTTCACTCTCTTGGCCTCAAAGGCAAGAGCAAGTCCTCTCTGAATAAAATTTTCCAAGAAAACGCTGTTCACCTTAGCAGAGTCACCATAAATCAGAAGTGACTTGAAGATGCACAAAAAATTCAAAGAGAAAAAAAGAGAATGGTGTAGAGGTACTTTTTTAGATGAGGAGGGGGAAAACTTCCATCCTTCAGATGTTGTTGGGCTACAGCTTCCATCATCTCTCACCAATGACTATGCATGATGGAAATTGTAATCTGACATTTTCTGGAGAAAGGTTTGCATAGAATTATGGAGGGGAAAGACCCATGTATGATTCCAGAGGAAAGGCAAAAGCTGCACATCACAAGTTTTGAACCTGACTCAGCACATAGAATTTGGTTTTGAAAGGCAGCAGATTACAGGAACTCCCTTCATAGACCTGTCAGCAGCTTATGACAATGCAAAGCATTGCCTTTTCCTGAGAAAAAAAATATCACAAAGGACTACCACCTCACCCACTTCAAAGGAAATCTGCTACAAAACAGGAGCTTTTTTTTTGTTGAGTTCCAGGGTCAGAGAAGCAGATGGCGAAAACAGAAGAATGGGCTGCCTCAGGGGAGTGTGCCTGCTCCATCAATGTTTAACATTTACACAAATGATCAGCCACTGCCAGAAGGGACAAAGAGTTTCGCTACTCAAGCAGGGAGCTTTGAATTGATTGAACAGAAGCTCTCAGAAACTTTAGGTGCTCTTACTGCCCATTGCAGGGAAAACCAGCTGTTTCCCAATCCATCTAAAACACAGACATGTGCTTTTCATCTTAAGAATAGACAAGCACCTTGAACTTTCAGGATTACCTGGGAAGGAATCCCACTGGAGCATTGCAGCACACCAAAAAAACCCGGGAGTCACTCTGGACCATGCTCTGACTTATAAGAATCACTGCTTCACTATCAAGCAAAAAGTGGGTGCTAGAAACAATATCATACGAAAGCTGACTGGCACAACCTGGGGATCACAACTAGACACAGTGAAGACATCTGCCCTTGCACTTTGCTACTCTGCTGCTGAGTAAGCATGCCCAGTATGGAGCACATCTCACCACATTAAAACAGTGGATGTGGCTCTTAATGAGACATGCTGGATTATCACAGGATGTCTATGTCCTACATCACTGGAGAAATTATACTGTTTAGCTGGTATTGCACCACCTGACATATGCTGGGAAGTAGCAGCCAGTAATGAAAGGGCCAAGGCATTGACATCTCTGGCCAGCATGCTGATGTCTTAAATCAAGAAATAGCTTTCTAAAATCTACAGAGATACTCGCAGGAACACCTCAGCAAATGAGAGTCCAAAAGTGGCAGGCTAAAACCCAGAACCTCAATCAGTGGTTGAGACTGGATGAGAAACTCCCTCCTGGACAAACAGAAGACTGGGCGATTTGGAAGGTGCTGAAGAGACTGTGCTCTGGCACCACAAGATGCAGAGCCAATCTTAAACAATGGGTTACAAAGTGGAGTCCATGACATGCGAGTGTGGAGAAGAGCAAACCACAGACCACTTACTACAATGTAGCCTGAGCCCTGCCATATACACAAAGGAGGACCTTCTTACAGCCACACCAGAGGCATTCCAAGTGTCCATTTTCTGGTCAATGGACATTTAGTATAATGCCAAGTTTTAAACTTTGTTTGCGTTTTAAATACATTAAAACTGCGCCCTCAATTCACTTTTGACATAATATATAGAATAATATTTTTTTTTTGAGATCCCTAGTACTTGGCCTGAGATGAATCCAACAAAAATGATGAGCTGAACCTCAAGATAACACTTTCTAAAACAACATGTGAAAACCTCTGGTTTGAAAACAAACTGAATGCTGGTGTTTTGACAACTTTCTGAAAATGTTTTTTGAAAAGATTTTACATCTAATGTAATTGTACACACACATACACACACACACACTTCATGCTATGGTTTTGTAAATTAAAAACAAAACAAAAAAGAGCTATTAAAACTCTTTTTTGACTTTTGGCCCATCCTGTATTAGGTGAATTATTAAAGTCTGAAAAATGTGATGTTTATGGTGAGGAGTGTTGAGGAAGGAGGGAACAAGTTGTGGCATATTGACAGACCTTTGGTTCCAGTGTCAAAGATGAAGAAAGGGGGACAGACCTTTTGTCAACCTACCTAATTCAATATTGCTGTTGAAATCTGCAAACTCCAAGAGTTGGTCCAAACGCTGCATAAGTTGAGGCCCCAGACGATTCATCCTGCTAAAAATACATTGGATTGCAGATAAACAAAAACCTTTTCAATGTCAAGAGGAATTAAGTGTTGGAATTCAACCATGCACTGCTCAAGTCTGCAGTTCTCAATGAAAACAACTAGATAGCATTAGGCTGGGCTGAAGGAATCCCACCCTCTTGAATGTCTGTTGATGTATCTGTTTTCTCTCCCTCTTTCTCTCCCATCCTAATTGATAACTTAGAATTGCATTTCTTTGGGATGCATAGCCTTTAGTTTTAAGACCTCATGGTCACACGTCTTCTTTTACCACCTTTTCATTCAGACCTCTGTACACTCTGTGTGATTGAGAAAATGTAGTATTTAGAGTCCCCCCCCCTTTTTTTGAACCCTAGAAGTAATGGAGTTAGAGAGAAGTTTAGACCTAATTCTTTTCTATCAAGAAATGTAGTTCTTATACATTTTTAAATAAACCCTTTGGAACTTTAAGGATCGAACTCTAAATCTTTGCCTCCTAAAGCTCAAGAATTCTTTTACAGCCACAGCACTACACTTTCTGCTTGCTATGAGCTAACTGCTTGGTTAAGTTTCCTGTTTTGCATTTTTAAATACTCTGCTCTTTTGCAGTTTCCCTAACATCATCATCATCATCATCATCATCATTATTATTATTATTATTATTATTATTATTATTATTATTATTATTATTATTATCTTTATTTGCACCCCACTAGCATCTCCCGAAGGACTCGACGCGGCTTACAAAGGCCAAGGCCTCAAAACACAACATAATAATACAACACCTAAAGCAAATTAAAAACAGTTAAAGCAATATTAAACAACAAGCAATAAACAATACATCGAGACACTGTAAAACTGGGCCGGGCCAGAGTAATGGGTACAGGATTAAAAGTGCTGATGTGACAGGTGATATGTAAGGATTATAGGGTAAGTGCAGTGTGCAATGTGCAGCAATCCTAATTCTAATAAAGTGCTTCTGGACTGGGACATTAACATTAAGCAGAAAACAAAGTTCAGCTGAGCCCCAAGAATTCATCTTCTGCATATGCTAAACAATTATGTAATGAAGAATACCCATGTTCATATACAGAGTGCCCCTTTGCCTCCTTGAGAGGCCCCCTCTTATCTAGCATCCTCCCACTCACACAAAGCACTTGCGGCACCGAAGATTTGTGGGGGTCAGTAGAGAAGGGGGGGGGAGGGAAGCTGCTGGTGCCCTTTAAACCCAGCCTTTTGCTTTCATGCTGATGCACAAGGAGGATGTAGAAATAATATAGCTTGACTGCAGTAGCTCAATACTATTGGGATCCTGGGTGTTCTAGTTTGGTGAGGCACCCGCACTCTTTGGCAGAGAAGAGCTTGTAAAACTGCAACTCCCAGTACTGTATAGCCTTGAGCCATGCCAGTTGCAAGTGGTGTCAAGCTGCATTCGTTTTACAGTGTAGGTCCACTTGCTTGCCCAGTCATGAGTTGTCAAAGCATACCAGCCCTTCCATGCTTGATAAATCAAAGCCTGGACAAAACAAAAAACAACCATAACACTTTTAGAATACCTTATTACGCCCTCTCGCACATTTCTATCATACTTATTTCTTGGATCCAGCGTTTCAGAATGGCATAAAGTTACTTTACCCTTTGTTTCTTTTTATATTCTTCCTGCTAGTTCCAGGTCCTGTTTTTCTGTGGTAAGATTTCCCAGTAAGGTGCCTCTTTTCACCTGTACCTTCAGCAAATTATCTCAGGCAAAAATCTCACCTGGGAAACTCTCCTGTTTCATTTCCTTCCAGCTGCTCCTGGTGTGCTACTCTGCTTGTTGTTAGTGGTGCACACTGTGCTCTGCCTGAAGGATTGATGTTGGGTCTCTTCATAAGGTTCTCCAGGGCTTTTATTTATTAGTATCAAAAGCATTGCATAAATAAATTAGTATAAAACTGATAAAATTGAGGGAACACAAGTGGCTAATTTTTTTTAGACCAAAAACGGGTAACAGCGATCTTATTGTCTGTAGCTTTAAAACAGTTCTTCCTCTGTGGGAAGTGGGCGGCTTTCACAGGGTTCAACCTTATTTCTCTAACAGTTAGCAGCAACTTCCCGTCGCACATCGGGGGGGGGGGGGGGGGGGGGGGGGGCAATGCCAGCTAGTTTATAGTCTATCATAGGTTTGAGACATCTTCTGATTATTCTACATGTTTTGTTCAGTGATATATTCACCTTTTTCGCGTGGGCAGTCTTGCGCCAAACAGGCATACTCAGCAGTTGAGTAAGACAAGGCCAGGGTTGATGTTCTTAATAATTTTGGGTCTGCTCCCCATGTGCTGCTAGTATGTTTTTGCAGGATGTTATTGCATGCAGCTACTTTGTGCTTGGTGTTCATACAGTGTTTCCTAAATGTTAGTGTGCAATCGAAGGTGACGCCGAGATGTTTAAGATGGAAACAATGTTTGCACTCTTGGCCTACCCAAGTAATGTTCAATTACCTGTTGGCTTGACGGTTATGTAGATGGAAAGCACACACTTCTGTCTTGGCAGGCTTAAGCTTCAGGTGGTTATTTTGTAATAGCTGGAGAGATCTTTCAGGACATTAGTAAGTTGGTTTTCGACCATTTCAAAGTCTTTTGCTTGTGTTGTTAGGCCAAGGTCATCAGCATTTACCAAGCTCTTTGTGAGTGGTGGCTGTGGTTAAACCTTAGTTAAACAAGGTCGGTACAAGAACGCTGCCTTGAGGTAAACCATTCTTTTGCCTCCTCCATTTACTTTTCCTTCCTTGAAATGCCACATAGAAGCTGTGGTTTTCTAGGAGGGTCTGGATAGTTTTTGTAAAATCATAGCCCTGGGTAATACTATGAGGTTGAGAGTGTGACACTTGCAGATAAACTGTAGAATTAATACAGTTTGACACTCTTTGACACTCTAGCTCAATGCTACGGAACTGTGTGGGTTGTAGTTTTGTGAGGCACTGGCACCATTTGGCAGCAAAGACCTTGTAAAACTATAACTGCCATGATTCCATAGCATTGAACCAATCAAGCTCAAATTTAATGAAATCTACATTCCAAGGCCCCGCAGGGATTAGAACTCTGGGGTCTCCTGAGTTTGACTCCAGTGCTGAGACCACTACACCACTCTCTCTCTTGAAGAATATTGTCTGAATATTGTAGGATTATCATGATTGATGAAGGAGATATATACAGCAAATATGTTTAAGAATGTGGCCAGTGACAGACACTGGCTAATGGGAATAAATTAATAAAAACAAAGTTGGAAAAATGTTATTTTGGCTTGTTCATTGTGGTTTTTTTGTTGTGTACCTTCAAGTTGGTAACCCAATCACAGGATTTTCTTGGCAAAATCTGACCTGAAAGTGCTTGCTTTTGTTTTTTCCAGAGAATATGAATTGTCCAAGGTCAGGCAGTGGGTTTTTATGAGCAAGTAGGGATTCCAACCCTGGTCTTTATTGTCCAATGCTGGAACCATTGGCTCTCTGCCCACCGTGTTTACTTCAAAGTAATTCAGCTCTTTGGATTTGTGATTTTATATGGGAGACCATAGAAAAAACAAACAAGAGAGATGGCCTCTGTGTGATAGAAGCAAGAGTCAGTTGAAGTTCCAATGTCCAAACAGCAGTAATGGGTGGAATGATATAGTAGACAATATATAGAGAAAAGAGCATGAGATGCAGAAATAGCAACTGAAGACAGGGAATAGCAAAGGAGTCAGTAAACAACATGAAGGAAGAATTGGAGAGGTGCGTGCATGCTTGAGAGAAGAGTTTGTGTGCAAATTCCTGCGTGCCTTGTTTGACAGCTGTTAAAGTGATGCAAAACACCCCTTTGTGTTTGTTCCAACAGATACCGGCAGTGTTTTCTTGAGAAGCTTTGACCATGCCAAGCTCTAAACATTTCTCAACCTGCCTGTGATGCTGAGCATTTAACTGTGGCATCATCGGCTGCAACCACCAGGTGCTTATGTTTATCACAGTGCCTTGAAACAGCTTACTTGATAATTCCTGAACACCAGGCTGGAGTTGTGCAAATTTTAAAAAGATTGAATGGAAAGCTGGCTGCTTTAACGCCTACCACATTTCCCACTAGAATGAGTCATTATAAGCTCTTTTCCCACAGATATTGAAGCCAGTATGCACTGGAGGAAAGGCAAGACAGTTGCCAGGTTTAGCATCTTATTCCTTCACAGAAATGCAGCTTGCCATTTGACTATAACTTGGTTTTCCCTATACATTTCTCATGTCACTGGAATAAATAGGTGGGGTGTCACATAATATGCATGCATGTAATTAAACCTTTTCCACTCCGCAGATTTTGTAAGGAACTTCACATGGAGTGCACTTTTCCCTTCATTATTACCTCTGACAATCTTGAGAGGTAAACTAACATCTCGCAGTGGAAATTGCAATCAATTACTTCCACAAGCATTGAAGTACCATACCAAAGTAGTATAGTATATAACATAACATCAAGGTAAACATTTCCCCTGACATTAAGTTTCATTGTGTCCAACTCTGAAGGGGTGGTGTTCATCTCCATTTCTAAACTGAAGAGCCGATGTTGTCTGTAAACACCTCCAAGGTCATGTGGCCAGCATGACTTCATGGGGCGCCGTTACCTTCCCGCTGAAGCAGTACCTATTGATCTACTCACATTTGCATGTTTTCAAACTGCTAGGTTGGCAGAAGCTGGGGCTAACAGCAGGAGCTCCCTCCGTCCTGTGCATTTGAACCACCAACCTTTTACTCAGCAAGTTCTGAAGCTTAATGGTTTATCCCACTGTATCACCAGGGGGCCCTTAATATATACCATATATAACAATTAATATACTGTACCTTCAATTTCAGCTAATTTATATAAAATAATGTATATATCCAGTCTTTCCTTAGGTAACAACTTTATGGTTAAGTTGTTTTTCTCAACTTACCCCACAAATATTCCTTTAGAAATTTTTACTGTTGCCTGTGTTTTTAATTTTATTAAAGACAAAATACAATTTAACGAGAGAACAAATGCATAAAAATAATTCTTTAGCTCTATTAGCAAAGCAGAACATAGCAGTCTGGAGAAAGGCTTCTTAAACTTTTTCCACTCATGACTCCTTTCTGCCTGAGAGGTTTTAAACATGTTTTTAACAATATAGGAAAATAAAGAAGTTGTAAAAATCAAACATTTACAGAAAATAAATCAACATTTGCAAGGCTTGCTAAACAGACTGATTTTCCTTTTTGTGGAATGCAGTCAAAGAGTTTTCTGTCGAGTCCATTGTAAACACTGTACATTGTTACTAACAGATTTGTGCAAATGGGTGTTGTTCAGAAACCCTTTCCTCTTGCCAAATTTTTCATGATCCCAAAACTGAGCTAAGGGGACCTCATTTGGTACCGGTACCCATAGCTGAAGAAGCAGTGGACTTGAGGATGCAGGGCAGTTTCCTCCAACTTGATGTATTCTAGACATCAACTACTGTTCCTTGTATTGGGTTACAACTTCCACCATCTCCAGCAAATGGCCATGGTGCCTGGGGTGGTGAGATCCATAGAAGTGGGCAGGTTGGGGACTCCTGGCTTAGTAGGATGAGAAATTGTAATAGTCACCACCAAGTTGCTACAATGTTGTTCTTGAGTACTGTAGTATTAAGAACCACCAGCAGCAAGTAAAAAAAGGAGAGTCCTGTGGTGGCGGCTCCTTCTTTGGAGGCTTTTAAATGGAGGCTGGATGGCCATCTATTGGGGGTGCTTTGAATGCAATTTTCCTGCTTCTTGGCAGGGGGTTGGACTGGATGGCCCATGAGGTCTCTTTCAACTCAATTGTTCTATGGTTCTATGAACGTCAAACAGTTCTGAGAGGCACTAGTTAACCTTCAGCTACTGCCCAATTCCCATACATAAGCACACCCTGAAAGATCAAAGCAGGAATGCAACGTGGTGCTTGTTCACTTTGGGAGAAGACTGTAAAGATGCAAATGCTAGAGGCACATAGAATAGAGAGGATCATTAGTTGGCTAGCCAGGACATGATCAAATCCTTGGGTTGGTGCTATAAAATATTTGCAGTCTATGGAAAAGAAGGTAGTGGATCATCCATGCATTGTCTGTCTGTCCAGGAATTCCAAGTTAATGGGCTTGTCAGGCACAAGCACAATACGGGCAAGGGGCTTCACTTCAGTTTGCTGTGGGTCTGGCTTGAATAAGAATATCCGGATAAGCTGGAAAATAATAATAAAAAGGTATATAATAATTTGTCCTTAGAATCCCTTTATTTGTCATCCTGTCCTCAATGTAAATAACTAAACCTTTCCATAACTGTTGGCTTTGTTTCAAATCTCTTGTTGTACCTAGCCAGAAAAATGGCTGTCACCTGGGTAAAGTTATTTTAGCTACCAGAAGGGTTTTTTTTTTGCTTGCTAAGATAGGAATGGGGAAGTTGTGAAGCTCCAAATGTTCTTGAACTCCAGTAGCCACCAGCACTGAACTGTGACCAGGGGTTTAGGATGATGAGAATAGACATTCCTCAACATCTAGAGAGTTGAAAGTCTCCATTCCTGCCTTGAGGTCATTGCTACTGAGGTAAAGATAAGGTAAAGGTTTTCCCCTGACATTAAGTCCAGTCGTGTCTGACTCTGAGGTGTGGTGCTCATCTCCATTTCTAAGCCGAAGAGCCGGTGTTGTCCGTAGACACTTCCAAGGTCATGTGGACAGCATGACTGCACAGAGCGCCACTACCTTCCCACCGGAGTGGTACCTATTGATCTACTCACATTTACATATTTTAGAACTGCTAGGTTGGCAGAAGCTGGGGCTGACAACAGAAGCTCACGCTGCTCCCCGGATTCAAACCTGCGACCTTTCGGTCAACAAACTCAGCAGCTCAGAGCTTTAACCCACTGTGTCACTGGGGGCTCCTCTTAATTGAAAACCCATGGAACTATTGCCTATATGCCTCCCTCTTTCTTTCCTTCTAAAGTTATGGAGATCCAGCTGGAAAAAATTAGCCAAATGTTTCCTATTTGTTTAGAAAACACTGTAGTTCTACCTTTCTCTGAATTCACTCTGCTGATAGTATATTTTAATGTATTAATTTGTCAAAATACTATTGGGTTTCTGTTTTTGGCAGCTAGCTTTCTCTATTGTAGTAATGATTGAGTTTGAGGGTTTAATGATCGCTTTACCAACAGAACTGAAATTTGGGATATGGGATGCTTAAAAAAATTAAAAAGCCAGGGTAATTCCTGTCCTCAACATTGTGCCTAAACTTCACCTGGATTGGACAAAGGGCCTGGTAGGTGTGTGAGATGATTACTAAGGCCATGCCATCACTAAACCACCAAATTCATATATGGCCAGGGCTGTATTTTTACTGCTCCCCCACTATTCTCTATATTTCACCTTCTGATGCACAAACGGGCACACCTTACGCTGATCACACTGGAAATGTATTTCTAAGAGCCACCAGGAGCAAGTGTATCATCACTGAATACATTCTGAAAATTCAGCTTGTGTACTTGACCTTAAGCCACAGCTGTAGAAGGATTGGCATGTACATTCAGGGAAGGCAGGCATAAGAAATGTGTGGCCTTCCAGGTGTTATTCAACAATTCGCACTAGATCTAGTTAGCACAGCCTATTACACTAGATGACAAGAACTGAAGTCCAATGGCAGTGGGGGGAGATCACCAGTTTCTCATCTCTGCATTATGAGGTCAAGGAAACCAAGCAATGTTATCAGATATGCCTGCCAGAAACTTACCCTGGCTAGTGCCAGATGCATCTCAAGTTCAGCAATGCGGCGTCCCGCACAGGCACGCACACCGTAGCCAAAAGGAATGGAGCTGAAGGGGTGATGAGATGATTCTCTCTGACCACGCAGCCAGCGACTTGGTATGAACCGCTCAGGCTCTGGGAAATTGTTCTCATCATGCGAGATAGCATAATGGGCCAACACAAAGAGGGTCTGGAGTTAGCATGAAACACAAGGTTAAGAGCAGATGACACATGCTTGGTTAAGAATGTTTCCCTCTTCAACAATAAAGTCCCACAAAGCCAAATTAGAGGATGCAAAAACACTTAAAGCATATTTCAGATTGGTAAGTTTTATACTCACACTACATGGCTTCTCATTTCCCATTATTTCAATATAATAATTTAATATATTTATTTTAATACATATACCATAAATTGCTATACTATAATATTGAAGATGGAGACTTGGTGCAGTCTCAGCCAACATGACCAACAATCTAATTCTCACACATATCTAGTTCTGACATGCAATGATCCTCATTTTCTTACTCCTTTCTCCTGTTCTTTTTTTCTAGCTTGAACTACCACATGAAAAAATCCAGAGAATTATGCCAATTTGTACTTCTCAAGCATTTCTGGCCACGCAGTCTGGCTTATTCACAGATGCTAGAAGCAAAAGACTGAAAAGGTTATGTCCACTCACATCCTTTGGAAAATGGTATCCCCCAACAACCACATCATTCTCCGCAATGACCCGGGCGTTGGTGGGGACCACAGGATAGAGCCTGAAAGGATATAAGTGGCAGAGTCATTAGGCAGCATGAGAAATAAAGGGAAATTTTCAGATACACAAAAGCACACATGAAACTGAATAGGAAAGTTTCTCAGAACTGGTCAAAGTGACAGGAGTATAAGAGAACCATTAAGAGCTTCTATATCCTTTGTCTTCAGCTTGTGATTGTTTTTTCTCCTTTGAGTAACAACAGAGACCCTTACCGGAGAGTCTCCTTGATGATGGCTTTCAGCAATGGCATCCTAGTGAGATCCTTGGCACTGGGAATCTTGTCTTTGGGTACTACATTGATCACTTCTTGGTACAAAGCTTCCTGGATGTCAGGGTTCTTAGACAGATGGTACAAGGCCCACGAGAGAGTATTGGAGGTCTAAGAAGGCAAAACAAGGGGCGTAGATGCTATCTCTGAGCAGAAACACAAGACAGGATCCTGGAAATTACTTATGTTCATGAGTACATATGGTCTTGATATAATACAGGTTGAGTATTTCTTCTTTGATTTGCTTGGGGCTAGAGGTGTTCTATGCCTCAGATTTTGGAATACTTCTATACACATAAACAAGTGGAGGTAATACCAGATGTTTCCAATGATAACTTTTCCAGACATTGAAACTAGTTTATTTATTTTAAAAAGATTTATATCCTATCTGTTTTATGGAAAAGAACTCCAAGACACTTAATACAGTTAAAAGTCAATACAGAATCAACAAAATGTTTAGTGCATCAAACTACAGAAGCCCACAAAAATCCTATAATGAGAATGACACGAAGTCACAGAGACTATATCCTCCATGGGAAAGAGTACATTAAACACTCCTTTTGCATGATCTCTCAAACACACCCAGAGCCCCTCTTAGGTAGAAAAAAAAGGCTTTTATTTAAGATCAAATTAAAAGAGCTGTAGCATAGGTTCCAGGGAGTAGCTTCAGGATGCAGGCTTTGGTTCTGGTAAAACTAATTATTACTTAGTTTTATACTTATGAGTGATATTTTTGACTTATACTTAACATGTCTACTGTTATTTATTCTTTCTTGTGTGTTATGATTTGTTTTTAAATTTTCCCCTAACTGGCATGTGCTTATTATTATTTATATTGTCTTGCTTGTTGTAAACTGCTCCAAGCCCCCTTGGGAAGAGGGGGCGGGATATAAATTAAGCTTTATTTTCATTATTATTTGATACACAACAAGATTAATTCAAAGCAAACAAGATTACTATTTGATCACAAGTCGGAAACTTCCCAAGTGTCTAGGACTGTGTGATGTATCGGCGAATAGTGCGTGCAGATCTGAGCAAGGTGGCCTTTTGCAGCTGACAGATGGTAATTTTGTCAGCACCAATTGTTTTTAAGTGCAGGCCAAGGTCTTTAGGCATTGCACCCAGTGTGCCAATCACTACTGGGACCACCTTTACCAGCTTGTGCCAGATCTTTGCAGTTCTATCTTTAAATCCTCATATTGTGTAAGCTTTTCCAGTTGCTTCTCATCAATTCTCCTGTTGCCTGGGATTGCAAAATCAATGATCCATACTTTGATGATGATTATGATGATGAAGATGAAGATGAAGATGATGTAGTTGCAGAATGTGGTTCCTAAGCAAGCCTAGCTGGAGTGGGTTAGTGTCTCAAGGAGCAGGCAAAACCATGAGCAAACCAATAGCAAGAATATATCTGAAAAAAGCTTCTTCATTCCTCCTGAGGCCACTATGGATGGGAGGCTGCCAATAAATACCAGGTGCTGTAGGCTGTATTTCAGAGGAAACAGTTGGCAAAATCACCACTGGCTATTTCTCAAACCATGCCATTTATGGGGCTACCATAAGTTGACCAGATACTTGAAGTCCCATACAGATATAGCTTGGCCTAATTTTTTTTGAGGGACTGCATTTTCCCATACTAACCTGTCTGGATTTTGAGATTTTCAAAGGAGGCTCTTCTGTCCATCACCTTCATTGGCACATATGTTGGGAATGTGAGAGGGAACTTTTCCATTGTTTTTTCCCCCAGGTTCTGGGACTCCTTTTCTAGATGGACTAGACTTGCCTTCACCATTAACAGGAAAAGGCGTTTTTAATTTATGTTTTATTTTCATAGACCTTTGGGATCTGTTGGCAGTGAAAAGGTTTTTAATAGTCTGCTTTACTGATCTAATTTTTAATTTCTAAATGAACATATTTTTCAATTATTTTTGTATTAATTTGACAATTTAATTATATGTAGTGTTTCTTATCTTTTTATTTAAGTAAATTTTCATCTGTATCTGCTTAACATTTTTCAGCTGCCTTGAAAAGTGTTGGGAAAAAAGCCAAGAAACACCCCCCCCCACAAAAAAACCCTCCTCTTTGAAGTGTTTTTAAAAGCATAAACTGTACAAGCCTAGAATTAATACCAGGCGATACCACCTACGCTTTGTTCTTAACCAATTACACTGAAACCTACTCAAAAAACCTTTGGACAACCCACGGTTTGTAGATCCTATGTGTTTTGGATGCCAGTCCCCAGAATCTGGACCAGAGTAGCCCTGATGGTACAGTACCTACCAGCTGAAGTCCAAAATACATGGAAGATCAAAGTATGAGAACTACTGGTCTAAATATTGCGAAGAAGGAAAATAGATTAATGGTAGAGACATATCTGGATGAATAAGATCGCTGGTTCAATCCATGGCGTTTCCAATTAAAGGAATCATCTAGTATTAGATTGCTGGTTCAATCCATGGCATTTCCAATTAAAAAGATCCAGTAGTAGGTAATAGGTGAGAACTCTGCAAGAATCCCCGGAAAACTCCTGCCAGCAAAGGACTAGAAGAGGTAGGCTTCAAAATTCAATGCCCATCATCATAGTTCAGGCTATCTAGAGGTGATAGCTGAAGTCCAACAATATCTGGAGGATCATAAATTGCCCATCCCTGGTATAGCTGTACAAATAACCTAATATTTCTCTACATACTTATGCTCCAGGTTGATACTCCTATGTTTCTAATGCATACTAAGGATGAAATAATTTACAAGACATTCAAACTTAATTGCAAGAAGGAGAACCTTATAATTCATCATGTAAAAGATCATCTAATGTGCCTAACTTTAACCCCAGCAAGCACATAGGTTTCTCCTTATCTTGGTGTAAGAACCAAAATTAAATAGACGAAAAGTTAAGCTCTTACGGTGTCCACACCAGCCAGAAGCAGCTCAGCTATGCTTCCATACACTTCGTCAAGGCTAAGGCGCCCACTGGACAGTAGATAAGTTAGGTAGCCTGAGACTTCCTCACCCTGTTCCAGGTGCTTCTCTAGCTCCACCATCTTCTGATCAATCAGTTTTTTCCCTAGAGCAAAAGAAGTGCATCTATTATCAGCAAGCAGCTCTCTTGTCGGGACCTGGGTATTCATCACTCATTACTGACATCTTTGTTTAGTGCCATCTTGGATACATGAGGAAACTTGCAGGAAATTAAAAACCGTCAATTGCTGATGGAAGAGTGTGTGTCCCCTACCATACCTGAGGATAGCGAGCCAACTTTATAAATTGAGAACTGGTTGCATATCACTTGTAGGTTCATCTCTATATACACACTGCTGCTCCCCAGCACTTGTCACCTGAAGCAGCTACTACAATCTAGGAGAGCGTGGTTTGGAGTTTCTGACTACTACAGTGCAGGGTCCATCTGCCATGCAGAATTAATGCATTTTGAAGCTACTTTAATTGCTATAGAGCCGTGCTATGGGATCGTGGGAATAGTAGTTTGGTGAGGAATACTATACTTCTATATTATAGAAAAGGCTAGACATTGCAAAAATACAGCTTCCATGATCCCATAACATTGAGCCAAAGTGGTGTCAAACTGCATTAATTCCCCAGTGCAGATTCATCCTTGGTCTCAGTGAAGAGCTATTTTGGATCTCCATATTTCACGTACCAAAGGCAAAGATAGTATCCCAGCCTTCTAGGTAACGGTTCCAATAAGGCAGCACATCTCGGGTCCACTTGGGGAAGATGGTGGCAAAGACAGAGTTCTTCAGCATGTATCCAATAGCATCAATAAAGCGCTGGGTCTCTGCAGGGATCTGTTTTTCCAAACAGCCAATGCGGGTCTCAAAGAGGATGCATGAGATGCCTGTGGATGGAATGCACAGTGGAAGGAGGTGCTCTTAGTGCCGTGTAAAGGGGCAGCCACACAGAGAGGACAGCTATGTAAAGGATGGAGGTAGACCAGAGAAGGAGCAGCCACAGAGAATGTGGCAAAAGGAAATTAGGAGGTCGATTACATAAAAGGCAATATCGCTGAAGGAGGATTGAGTGATAATGAACCCGTCAATGCTTGGGAGAAAAGACTGGAATGGATGAACATACATAATGGAGCAAGGCTACCCTGAGTGTCCCCCCCCCCGGGGGGTGAGAAGGGTGGGGTATAAATATAGGAAATAAATACAAATAAATAAAGCTTATTACAGTTTTACTGGTAGGTAGTGACACTATTATTTGAATAATTTATCCTAACTTTCCAAGCTGGTGATGTTACTACTCACTGGATGAGTCAGAAGTATCCAGATGTTGTTGGATGGTAACTCCCATCAGCCCTAACTGGCATAAACAACGCAATGAAGAAATATCCCAGCTGCAGTTCAAGGATTTTGAGAGGGCAACATTGTCCTGATATCCTCCCCTTAACATGTGCTAAATCTTTTTAGTGTGTATATAAACGTTTAATCATTAACAGTTCAAAGTGACAACTGTATACACAAAATTTGAAAGTATGGATCATGCTAATTTTTCCTTGGCCATTTTCAGTCTGAGAGACTATCAGGAGAATGTCCTATGTTTTGTGGCAGTGACCTACATCTCAACTTGTCACCACTTTCTGTGTCTTTAAAAAGGTTTTCCATATAAATCAATGTACATATCCAAACATAGCCATTCACCTTCATCAATGAAAAAAAAATCAATCCAGAAATCAATTGCCTATGCTTCGTCTCACTGGAGTCAAAATACTGGAACAGGTGCAATTCTAGTTTCACATGCCTTTCTGAAAATAAATATTGCTTCAGGTTCACCTGGTCATCATATTTCAGGATGGCAATAATAATCTGGTTCCTGGCTTCTTCCTTTATAGCTCCAGTGGGATGGCAATGTGTCTCACAGGCAACTTTTTTGCCTCCATTATATGTGTTGCAAGGAATTTCCCCAAATCACTGCAGAGTTAAAAAGGATCAGCAGGGCTGAGAACAACAATGCTAAGTATTATTTTCTTGGTGTTTAATCTGATGGCTCTAAAAATATCAACATGGAGAGGAATTTAACCTTTCCTCCTCTACTCTAATCCTCTATTAAAATCACTGCCAGTTGGATATTTCTCCCCAATGCTAAACACTATCCCAATTGAAGGAAACTTCTTCAGCACCAAACAGGGCAAGAAATGGTTACATTTTCTCTCCATGCCTGTTTTGATGCCTTTGTGTTTTGATGCTTCTCAGCTATTCCATTTGTATATATATTTTAAAATGCCCAGTATGTTAAATGCAATTTTAGGTATGTCTAGTCTGGCTCACAACTGCAATGTCACACTTATGGATATGGGGGTCATGACAATGGTAGGGTGATGGCTTCCTGGATCTGCCAGGGACCTTTGGGTGATGCCATAGCTTGCTGCCCCTCTCAGGTTTCCTTACAAGTCCACAACATGCAATTATGGAGAAGAGCAAACCACAGAGCACTTACTACAATGCAGTCCGAGCCCTGCCACATGCACAATGGAGGACCTCATCACAGCGGCACCAGAGGCACTCAAAGTGGCCGGCTTCTGCTCAAAGGACATTTAGTATAATGCCAAGTTTTTAACTTTGTTTTTACTTTTAAATACATTATTACTGTATCCTCAATTTACTCCTGACACAATAAATAAATAAACTCCTTCTGACTCTAGCTCTCATCCTTCAGGTGTTTGGCTAGGAAATTGATTTATAATCCATCCCCAAAACAAGATAATGCTAATGTGAAGAGTACAATATTGGGGGAGTTTGATATTGAATGAGTTATGAAGATCCATTAAATCTACAAAAGACCCCAAATTAGTTAGAACTGGTTTGTTGACACAAATCAACAAAATATTTTCTCCCTGCAAAAGCATAGCTATCATGATGAGTGCCTGTACTTCAAAAGTTGGTTGTATTGTTTTAATCTACTGCTGTAAACCACTCTGAGCCAAATTGGGAGTGGCGGTATACAAGTCAAATAAATAAATAAATAAAATGTATCAGGTTTATGCTTCTAGCTACCTGATGTTTACAGGGCTCATTCTTCAGCTATGGACCAGCTATATAATCATAAGAATAGAATAAACACTGAAAGGTGTGTGTGTGTGTTTGAGAGAGAGAGAGAGAAAGAGAAAGAAAGAGAGAGAGGGAAGAAAGGAAGGAAGGAAACAGACCACACCTTCAAGGGCGAATCGGTATAACACATTGGCTATATCTTGGATCATTACACCCGAGGGGCTCTTGCTTCTCTCATTCTCTAGGTGTATCACCAGGTCAGACACAACCTCATTGATGACATCTGCATACAACACGGCTTCAGAAGGTTTAAGCATCCTCTGGTTCAGCACCTGTCGCAGGCGGTGCCACCGCTTCCCATCCCTGAGAATGAAAGAGAGAGTTGGAGCCAAGCAAGAGACCCAATATATCCAGAAGAGTCAAGGCAGGGAACCAGTCAGCCTGGCTTTTGCTTTGCAGAGGGCCAATATCTACCTTTGGCTCTAGGTTCTTCCTTCACAGTTTTCAAATGAGCTGGGATCTCTCACTACCTGCCCAAAGTACAGGGGGAGGGGGAACCAATGTCTCTGAGGCTGCACATGGCTTACCAGGGGATTTCTCACAGTCCTCCCAGACTTCCTCAAGACCTCCCTGAAGTCCCTGTAGCAAAATCTGAACACTCAGGAGATGTATGGAGTAGCACAGTTTGCTCAGGCAGCCCCATCTGCAGAAGGCAGGAGAGTTGCTGAAGCACTTTAGATTTTTCTCTAGTACAGACTTGAAGGGTAAAGAATATTTTGTGGCCAGAAGATAAATCTTTTTTGGCCATTGTTTGTAGGGGAATTAACATCACTGCTGAAGTGGGCAAAGTCATCTGAATCTTAGTATTTGCCTCCAGAGGTCATTGAACGCATTCTATTTATATAGTCATAGAAGAAATGCTAGTTGAAAGATTTTAGGAGCAACAATCCCCAAAGTAACTTTTCCTAGCGCTCTCTCTCTCTCTCTCTCTCTCTCTCTCTCTCTCTCTCTCACACACACACACCTATAACTATCTTTCCCTACAAATGCCATCTTGCTATTATATAACTGAGCTTTTAAAATGTTGCAATGGCATAAACAGAGACAGTGAAAAATCCCATTTGCAATTTGGTAAACTGACTTTTTTTGACTTTCTGAAATATCAGAAAATTGGTTCAGTTCTGCATGCCAGGCTACCAAATATTAGGAAGCAGGACTTCAGTGGCTATGCCCATTTCATAATCACAAAAGTCATATAAAATAGTGGGTTGCTGAGGCAGCAGATTATGCTGCCTTGGAATGTAGTGGAGTCTCCTCCTTAGGTGAGTTTTAAGCAGGGACTGGATGGTCATCTGCCAGGAGTGCTTTAATTGTGCTTTTTCTACATGGCAGGGGGTTGGACTGGATGGCCCTTGGGACCTCTTTCAACTTTATGATTCTAGACCAGACTCCTGAAGATAATGGGGACTTTAGCTAGTGGTAACTAATGGAATCTCCATTGATTTTAGTGGGCCTATTCGTTTGTAAGCACAACTCAATCTGCAACTAGCCCAGAAAGACCAACCATAATATTGGATGAACTTTAAAAGAATGCAGATTTCAGATTTCAAATTTGACTAACACTTTTTTTAAAAAAAAACCAGCTACACTCACTCAGTGAAGGGGCCATAGGGGATGTGACGTTTGTCCCGGTGCTCCTTCCAAAGAGCCATGTCGCTCCGTATGGGGTACTTCCCCTCCTGGCGCACAACTTCTTCTAAGGTTTCTGCACTGCCAATATTAATATTTAAACTTGAGCCAAACCAGGATTTCCACATGGGGCCGTACAGCTTCTTAGAAAGGACCTGGAATAAACAGGAGCAGGGAGGGGTTAGCCATAACGTAATAATAATAATAATAATAATAATAATAATAATAATAATCCTTTATTTATACCCCGTTACCATCTCCCGAAGGACTCGGTGCGGCTTACAAGAGGCCGAGCCCAAATACATCAGTAAAAACAGCAACAGCAGCAATACAGACAATACATAAACTCATAAACAAAGCAATAAACAGTAACAATAACACCACGACGCATTAAAAATCTATGGCAGGTTTTTATGCACCCATTTTAAGGATCCAAGTGTGTTCCTGTACATGCAAGTATTGCCCAATAGAATAAGTTAGTCATACTTCTGGTTAAAGGCCCTAAGAGCCATCACATTACATCATTATCAGCAAAATCACACCACGGCGATATTTTGTTTCCAGAGCTTTCAGTAGGAAGCAGCTAAAGGACAGGCTGGTCTATGGTGGTTGTAAAAGATGAGCTGTGAGGAAAACTAATAAGAAGAAAATCCACTCCTTTGAAATGTGCTGGTGATGTTCTGTGGATACCATGGGCTGCTAAAAAGTAAAATACAGCAGTTCAGTCTAGAGCAGTGGTTCCCAATCTTTTTTTGTTCAGAGACCACTTTGACCAGGAACCACTCTCCAACATTAGTATCAAAAGGGTTACGAATCAATTTTTAGTCAACTTTAGATTCGGTTCAGTTATTTGGGGCGCTGATTCAGAAAATTGCATTGGACAGACCACATCAGCTCTAGTTTCTGGTACAGAACATATGCCATCCAGTAGTCGCCATTTACTTGCCCACCGAAAAACATACTTAATAATGTAGAGCTGATGTGGTTGTAGTAATATTCGTGGGTAGTCAGCCTCTCCCCTCCCGACATCCCCGTTGCCTTGGCACTATATTTATTTATTTATTTACAGTATTTATATTCCACCCTTCTCACCCACAGGGGACTCAGGGTGGATTACAATGCACATATACATGGCAAACATTCAATGCTATAGATATACAACATATATAGACAAAGAGGCAATTTAACATTCCAGCTTTTCTGGCTACATGAGGGTATGCTTGATTCCAGTCACAGGAGGAGCTGTCGCTTCACCATCCACTTGTGACACAGAGTCCTTGATGGAGTACTTCCTCATTCTTAGGCACACTGCTGGAAGGTTTTATGGTGTTGTAAATTAGTTAAATTAGCCTCCCCGCATAAAGCAGTACTTAAATTTCCTATTTGACAGATCTGTTTTTCGGGTTGCATAGGTCAACTGCAAGCAAGACTATTAATGGTTGGGAGCTTACTCCGACCAGGGCTGGCTTCAAACTCATGACCTCTCAGTCAACAGTGATTTAATGCAGCTGGCTACTAACTAGCTGTGCTTATAAGAGGATTTTGCAAGCCCAGTTGCTCTTATTGCCACGTGGTTTTGAAGCAATGGTGTAGTAATGGTGAAGTTGCAGACCATATTCTTGCAAACCACTGGTGGTCCACGGACTACAGGTTGGGAACCACTGATCTAGAGCAAATCAAGCCTGAACTCTTCCTAGAAGCCAAGATGACTATTACATAAACTGTTGGACTTTGGTAAGGCAGACGGCAGTAGCAACTGAGGAAGACTAGATTCTAGATAGAGACACTCAATCAAGGAAGCCATGGTCCTGGGTCTGCAAGACCTGAACAGGACTGTTGAGAAGAGGAGAATTTGGAGGGTTTTCATTCAGAGTTGGCATTAGTTGAAGTCCACAGCAGTTAACGAAAACTGAACTTGAACAGTCAGTGAGTTATCTTCCCACCAATCAGGCCAACCTGTCTTGGCAGCTATGTATCACTGCAATGTGAACATTCTGGCCTAGTTCTCAGAAAGAGTCCTAATTCCACATGCAGAGTTATTCAGTTGCTGCATAGATTTTTGTTGTCAGAGGACTGGCAACTTTCCCAAAAAGTGTTTTGTTAAAAAGACAGAACAAAACAATACCTTGAAATCTTTGGCTTATTGCTGGCTAAGTTGAGAGAATTCCTCTGCAAGCCAAATGTCCATGTAGCTTATAGGCTCACCCACAGGCAAGCCTTGATTATTGCTCTTCACTTTGAAGTGATCATAAAAAGCATCACTGAAAATCCCTTGGAGAGATAGGGCGGAATATAAATAAAGTTTAATTATTTATTATTTTATATGAAAATACCCAAAGTGGAGTATATGGTTTGCTCATTTATTTGTTTGCTAAATGAATACCACTGCCCTTCATCTGTGTATAAATGCCGATGTGCCTGTGTCCTCAAATTGCCTGTTGACATGCAAGATACTTCACTTAGGCAAAAATAAAAATAAAAAAAATAAAATAAAAGGAAAGGCAAAGATACAGAATAGCAGACCTGTGGCTTGAGAGCAGCATGTGTGAAAAAGATCTTGAAGTCCTCATGGACAACAAGTTAAACATGAGCCAACAATGTGATGCGGCAGCAAAAAAAGCCAATGGGATTTTGGCCTGCATCAATAGGAGTCTAGTGTCTAGATCCAGGGAAGTCATGCTACCCCTCTATTCTGCCTTGGTTAGGCCACACCTGGAATACTGTGTCCAATTCTGGGCACCACAATTGAAGCGAGATGTTGACAAGCTGGAATGTGTCCAGGAGGGCAACTAAAATGATCAAGGGTCTGGAGAACAAGCCCTATGAAGAGCAGCTTAAAGAACTGGGCATGTTTAGCCTGAAGAAGAGAAGGCTGAGAGGAGACATGATAGCCATGTATAAATATGTGAGAAAAGTCATAGGGAGGAGGGAGCAAGCTTGTTTTCTGCTGCCCTGGAGACTAGGACACGGAACAATGGCTTCAAACTACAAGAAAGGAGATTCCATCTGAACATTAGGAAGAACTTCCTGACTGTGAGAGCTGTTCAGCAGTGGAACTCTCTTCTTCAGAGTGTGGTGGAGGCAGGCCTGTAGCGAGGGGGGGGGGGGTTAGGGGTTCAACCTCCCCCCTGAAATGTTTCAGATTTTATTATTTTTTTTAGTATATATTTTATTGAATTTTCTGTGACATGAGTTAAAAGTTTGAGGGGTAAAAAAAAAAAAAAAAAAAAAAAAGGGAAAAGAAACCCAGGTAAGTAGTGTGGGGGAAGGAAAGGGAAGGGGGGGGCAGGGACAGGTCGATGGGGAAGGGAAAGTTTTAACTGGGAAAAGAGAAAAGAAAAGAAAAGAGAGAGAAAAAAAGAAAAAAAATCGCAGATCTTCGTGACTTCCTGAGTAAATTGGTGGAGGTGTTTTCCTTTTCTCTCTCTCCTTTCCATCTCTCTGTCAAAGTCTTCTCTCTTTCCTTCCTTGTAGGGTTTTTTCTTTTATTTAAACTATTGTTTTGTATCTTATCTCCTTTAAATAGCCGGTAACTCTTCCCCAATCCGTCTCTTGTATCGGGTTGTCCTTGCTTCTCGCTATTAAAAAAGTCAGTCTGTCCATATTTCTAATGTCATAAACTTTCTGTAACCATTCTTCTGGTGCTGGTATACCAGCACCAGAAATGTTTCAGATTTTTTAAAAAACCTGGTTTACTCATGAATTTTAACTGGTTAACCAAATCCCCATGCTAAGTCTATGAGATGCAAAAAATTAAGAGTCCCTCCAGAACTGCAAGCACTATCTCAGGCAAATATTGACAATTTATTCACACTGTTTGGGACCCGCCTACCTGCGTGACCGCATCTCTGTGTATGAACCCACAAAATCTCTTCGTTCATCTGGAGAGGCCCTACTCACGATCCCACCTGCATCGCAAGTGCAATTGGTGGGGACGAGGGATAGGGCTTTCTCAGTGGTGGTCCCTCGACTCTGGAACTCTCTCCCTAAGGACATCAGGCAAGCCCCATCCAGGATAACTGCATGCCCATCCCCCTCCAAACACCTATCCTTTTCACCTGGTCATGCCCAGCACTTTTTAATTTTAATTATTACATTTGGCCATGCCACAGATTTTAATTGCGTCATTTATTTATTTATTATTTGAACTTATATGCCGCCACTCCCCTGGGGCTCGGAGCGGCTTACAAGAACAGGCTAAAATCAAACACAATTTAAAACAATTTTAAACAATTTTAAAACAATCAGAGATCAAAGGCCCATTGAAATAGATATGTCTTCCATGCCCTGCGGAAAGCTGATAAATCCCGCAAGGCACGGACTTCAGGTGGCAGAGTATTCCAGAGTGATGGTGCCACTGCTGTGAAGGCTCTGCGTCTGGTTGCTGTTAGACGCAAGGTCTTGACACTGGGAATTTCCAATAGATCTTGGTCATGGTGTGTTGTTAATGTTATTGCCTTGTTTTTGAGTTATTTTGCCATATTGTTGTTGTTTTTACTGCTGTATTTGGGCTCGGCCTCTTGTAAGCCGCACTGAGTCCTCCGGGAGATGGTAGCGGGGTACAAATAAAGGATTATTATTATTATTATTATTATTATTATTATTATTATCATTGTCATTGTGGGGTGTGTGTGTTGAATGCTCTCATTAAGGAGGCCAGACTTGGTGGAGGAGGTTGACAGGGGTGGAGCTGCAGACTATTGAAGGCTGCTCTGCTCCCTGCTGTGCTCTTTGCTTCAGCGTGAGCAAGAGGCAGGTTTCAACCCCCCCCCCCCCCCCGCAAAATTTTCAACCCCCCCCCCGAAATTTTCAATCCCTCCCAAATTTTTTTCTGGCTACGGCCCTGGGTGGAGGGTCCTTCTTTGTAGGCTTTTAAACAAAGGCTGGATGGCCATCTGTCAGGGGTGCTTTGAATACAATTTTCCTGCTTCGTAGCAAGGGGTTGGACTGGATGGCCCACGAGGTCTCTTCCAACTCTATGATTCTATGATTCTATGACATATGGTGACCCAATTAATTTCACATAGATTTCTTAGGCAAAAATGCCCAGAAGTCATTTTCCTCTCCTTGGACTGTGAGAAAATGTTTTGCAACTTTGGAGGAGAAAATGTGACCTTTTAGCAGGGCAGGTATCATGTAACTGGTTTTACAGGCTAAAGAACCCTATATAATTAATTACAGTATATGGTGCAATAAAGCTTGGCTGTGGTTGCATTGTCAACTTGAATTACCGAGTGGACAAAGCACCTGTATTGTCTTCCCTTCCATTAGCATGCAATTGGAACCCCTGGTGGCGCAATGGGTTAAACCCTTGTGCCGGCAGGACTGAAGTGCAGGTTCGAATCCGGGGAGAGAGGGATGAACTCCCTCTATCAGCTCCAGCTCTGCATGCGGGGACATGAGAGAAGCCCCCCACAGGGGTGGTAAGACATCAAAAACATCCGGGCGTCTCCTGGGCAACATCCTTGCAGACAGCCAATTCTCTCACACCAGAAGCAACTTGCAGTTTCTCAAGTTGCTTCTGACACGACAAAAAGAAGAAGAAGAAGAAGAAGAAGAAGAAGAAGAAGAAGAAGAAGAAGAAGAAGAAGCAGCAGCAGCAGCAGCAGCAGCAGCAGCAGCAGCAGCAGCAGCAGCAGCATGGAATCAAACCTTCTGAGCTGCTTGGTTAAGCATCTCCTTGCAACAATTTGGTTTTGAAAGTCTTTGTTCCCTAAACGAAACAAAGATAGCTGTGTTGCTCTCTGTGCCAACAGTTGCGTAATCTCCTTGCTGGGACCAATACAAACACAGCAAGAATTCAGTTCTTGTGGGTTTTTTCGGGCTATATGGCCATGTTCTAGAGGCATTTCTCCTGACATTTCGCCTGCATCTATGGCAAGCTTCCTCAGAGGTCAAGAATTTCACTAACACTTGAATCTCTTTCCTGAGGTTCTGAAAGGGATACAGAAGTATGGATCTTGTGATAAGTCATGCTGTCCTTGCCTCTGTCTGAGAATCTCTGTCTGGGAATCCATTCATTTTCTGCTAATCCTGAAGCATCACCCTCACACGGCCCTGCCTCTTCCTATCAGAAGTCCAGTGCCAGGCAGGACTTTGTTTGACCCACAGACAACAACCCTTGGACCTCAGTAGTTAACATAGTTCTGCACTCCAGAATGAATGAAGTTTGGCCCCACTTTAACTGCCATGGCTCAATGCTATGGATTCCTGGGATTTGTGGTTTGGTGCTCTTAACAAAGAAGGTGAAAGACTGTAAAAACTGTAACTCCTGTGATTCCACAGCATTAACTTATGGCAGTCAAACTGCATTAACCTTACAGTGTGTTGTTCATTTGTTCAGTCGTCTCCGACTCTTCATGACCTCATGGACCAGCCCACGCCAGAGCTCCCTGTCGGCCGTCACCACCCCCAGTTCCTTCAAGGTCAGTCCAGTCCAAGGATGCCATCCATCCATCTTGCCCTTGGTTGGCCCCTCTTCCTTTTGCCTTCCACTTTCCCCAGCATAATTGTCTTCTCTAGGCTTTGCTGTCTCCTCATGATGTGGCCAAAGTACTTCAACTTTGTCTCTAGTATCCTTCCTTCCAATGAGCAGTTGGGCTACCCTACAGTGTAGATGCACTCTAAGATTACACTTGAACATTAGGAAGAACTTCCTGATTGTAAATGTGTTCAACAGTGGAACTCTCTGCCACGGAGTCTGGTGGAAGTTCCTTCCTTGGAGGCTTTTAAACAGAAGCAGGATGGCCATCTGTTATGAGTGCTTGGATTGTGCTTTTCATGGATATTTTTTTCCATGTCGGGAGCGACTTGGTGTGAGAGAATTGGCCGTCTGCAAGGACGTTACCCGGGGACAGTCGGATGTTTTTGCTGTTTTACCATCAGGTAATGATCACCCGGTAGCGCAGAGGATTAAAGCGCTGAGCTACTGTGCTTCTTAACCGAAAGCCCAAAGGTTCAAATCTGGGGAGCAGCGTGAGCTTCCGCTGTCAACCCCAGCTTCTGCCAACCTAGCAGTTCGAAAACATGCAAATGTGAGTAGATCAATAGGTACCATTCCAGTTGGAAGGTAACGGCGCTCCATGCAGTGATGCCGGCCACATGACCTTGGAGGTGTCTATGGACAACACCAGCTCTTCGGCTTCGAAATTGAGATGAGCACCACACTCCAGAGTTGGACACGACTGGACTTAATGTCAGGGGAAACCATTAGCTTTACCTAATGGTCATGCAAGCACCAAACTAGATATAGTGTAGGAGCTCTTGATGTTTTATCATCCTTGTGGGAGGCTTATCTCATGTCCCGGCATGGGGAGCTGGAGCTGACAGAGGGAGCTCATCCGCACTCTCCTTGTATTTGAACCTCCGACCCATTGCACCACTGAGAGCTGGATGGTCCCTGGGGTATCTCCCAACTCTGTAATTCTATGATCCTAAGAGGAAGTACACCTAGTAAAGAGTGTTACACAATCCTAGTATCCGATAGTATTGAGCCAGAGCACCTAAAGTGGGGCCAAACACCAAACATGTTTCAATCCCTCTGCACTGCTACTAAGAGCAAAGGGCAATCGTTCTGCTCCACACCTTGCTGTTCTTGCTCCTGAAATGCCAGGAGGAGAGGGCTGGAGTCATAAAAGAGAGCTCCTCTTTTCTTCCAAGGCCAGGTGAGTCTTTAGGGTAGGCATGGGGAAACTGGGGCCCTCTGGGTGTTTTGGACTTCAACTCCCACAATCCCTAACAGCCTACTGGCTGTTATGAATTGTGAGAGTTGAAGTCCAAAACACCCGGAGGGCCCAAGATTGCCCATACTTGTTCTAGGGCAGTGTTTCTCAACCTTCCGAATGCCATGACCCCTTAATACAGTTCCTCATGTAGTGGTGACCCCCCCCAACCATAAAATTACTTTCGTTGCTACTTCATAACTGTAATTTTGCTACTGTTATGAATCGTAACGCAAATATCTGATATGCAGGATGTATTTTCATTCACTGGACCAAACTGGGCACAAATACCTGATACGCTCAAATTTGAATACTGGTGGGATGGGGGGGGGGGGTGTTGATTTTGTCATTTGAGAGTTGTAGTTGCTGGGATTTATAGTTCACCTACAATCAACGAGCATTCTGAACTCAACAGCCCCCCCCCGAAATTCTCATGGTGGTTCGCGAAAAGGCCTTACTGGTGCATTATTTAAACTGTTATGTTTATTCATATCATGATCTGATCACCATACTCAATATATCCCATATGCATGGGGGTATTGGGGTAATGATACAAAAGGTTTGCTAGGGTAGACCCTCTTTCACTCAGACTCAGCCCCCCCCCGAAACTCAGCCCCCCCCCCCGAAACCCCCCCTGAAAAATTTTTTAGCCCCCCCCCCCCAAACGAAATCCTGGCTAGTGGCCTGTCCAGAGATCACTGTGGAATCTGGTGGATCTGCACCAATCTTGGCACAAATACTCAATATGCCCAAATGTGAACACTGGTGGAGTTTGGGGAAAATAGACCTTGATCTTTGGGAGTTGGAGTTACTGGGATTTATAGTTCACCTACAATCAGAGTATTCTGAACTCCATCAAAGATAGAACTGGGCCAAACTTCGCCCACAGAACCCCCATATTCACAGAAAATACTGTGTTTTCTGATGGTCTTTGGCGACCCCTCTGACGCCCCCTCTGACCCCCCAAGGGCCCCGACCCCCACGTTGAGAAACGCTGTTCTAGGGGGTGTGCAAGACCCCTCTCCGCTCCCTCCCCCGCCCTCCGCGGACCCACCTGCAGGCGGTGCGTGTGCAGCAAGTAGCCCCGGGCGAAGAGCAAGTAGTGCGACTTGAGGGGTCCGGGCCCCGGCAGCTCCTCCGGCCGCTTCAGGCGCTCCTCGCTCCGGGAGGCGGGGGCGGAGGCTGCTGCTGCTGCCGCCTGTGAGAGGCCCCGGCAGCCTCCTTGAGGGCGGCCCAGAGAGCCCCCCGGGCCCCGCAGGCAGCGCCCCAGCCTCCCGCCCAGCCTGGCCATGGCTCCGCAGCGAGGGAAAGCGGGCGAGAAGAAGAGGAGGAGGAGGAGGAGGAGGAGGAGGAGGAGGAGGAGGCGGGAGCTAGCGGCAGGCAGGCGGGAGCGGGGAGCCCTTCACAAAGCCCTCTTTCCGCAGCGGCGCCGGTCGGGTAACTCGAGGTCAAGCTGCCTGCTTCCCTTTCTTTCGAAAGGAAACGACTCTCCAGCTGTTCAAGCCAAGTGGGCTGTTCTCCTTCCGAGCCAGCCTAGCAGTAGAAGCGAGTGCAACCTGACACCGCTTGGACTGGCGGGCCTCCATGCGATGGAGTCATAAGAACTACAACTCCCACGATGCCATATTAGGCACCACAGTTGAAGAGAGATACTGAGAAGCTGGAATGTGTCCAGAGGAGGGCGACTCACATGATCAAGGATCTGGAGAATAAGCTCTATGAGGAGCGGCTTAAAGACCTGCGCAAGCTGCAGCCCTCCAGTTGTTTTGGCCCTCAACTCCCAGAATTCCTGGCCATTGGGCAAGCTGGGGAGGGTTTCTGGGAACTGGAGGCCAAAACAGCTTTTGCGAGCCTGGTGTAGATGCCCCTTGGCCATAGGGACCCAGCCCTAGATACAGGGTGCCTTCCCATCTCAATGATTGGAGTGTTGCAGCCAGATTAATGCCAAGGGAGCCATTTAACCAGGCATATGCAGATGATATGCCTGCATATGCCTGGGAGGAGATCAATGATCAATCTTGATAAAATAGTGAAGAGTGTAGACATCACACTGGCAGCAAAGATCTGCATAGTTAAAGCAAGGGTATTCCCCGTTGTAACCTATGGATGTGAGAGCTGGCCCATAAGGAAGGCTGAGCGAAGGAAGACAGATGCTTTTGAATTGTGGTGTTGGAGGAAAGTTCTGAGAGTATTCATATCAAGTTTGGTCCAGATCCATCATTGTTTGAGTCTACCATGCTCTTTGGATGTAGGTGAACTACAACTCCAAAGTTTAAGATCAATGCCCACCAATCCCTTCTGGTATTTTCTGTTGGTCATGGGAGTTTTGTGTGCCAAGTCTGGTTCAATTTCATCATTGGTGGAGTTCAGAATGCTCTTTGGTTGTGGGTGAACTATAAATCCCAGCAACTACAACTCCTAAATGATAAAATTGCTCCCCCCCCCTCTCCTGGTGCATCATTACTATGCCCCGGGAGAGTTCCAGTAAGACTGGAATGGAGGCCGGGTAAGTTTTCATTGCTTTTAAAAGGGGTTTTGGGGCTTTTGGGGTGGGGGTTACAGTGTCCCGGTGTTGTACTGGGAAGTCCCAGTACAACATCTGGACACCCACCACAGAAAGTGTGTGCTTTCTGGGGTGTGTGCCAACAGCCTCTCAGGAACATCCGTGATTTTTAAACGCAGATGGTTCTGGGATAAAGGACTGTCTGGAAGTGCCCTGAGACAGCTGTGAAATAGGAACAACAAAAATATGTGGAATTACATATTACTTGGCAGATAAAGAGATCGTCAAAATAAAGCTTACTTCCAACAGTAACAGCAACAGCTATATTACGAATGTCTATAATATTGTAAGATGTTTTCTGCAATAAAAATAAACTGCATTCTGCTGAAGCACAATGTATAATTTTCAGTAATTAACAGGCCTGTCCAAGCTTGTTTCCAAACTAAACATTAGAATGTTGAAAGTGCAGATTATCACAAATTTTGTGGATTAAATCATCCTGTCTACAAGTCAGGAACCAATAGTTTAGCTATATCACAGAGTTTAGAAAGTTGTAACTGGAATATGTGATGTACCCATATTTATTTCCACCCCATGTCACACGTTTCAGGGTTGAGACCTGGAACGAAGTGAATTTTGCAGGATGCACTAGATAGGTATAGTGAAAATAAAAGTGTGATTCTCCAAACTGTATTGCATTTTCCAGCAGGCATAATCAATGGTGAGGAACACTGGGTGTTACCATCCAATACATCCAAGATAATAGGAACAGAAGAAAAAATGACCTTAATAGATTAAAGGTCTCAGGTTCGAATCCGGGGAGTGGTGTGAGCTCCCGCTGTCAGCCCCAGCTTCTGCTAACCTAGCAGTTCGAAAACATGCAAATGTGAGTAGGTCAACAGGTACCACTCCAGTGGGAAGGTAACAGTGCTCCATGAAGTCTCACTGGCCACATGACCTTGGAGGTGTCTACAGACAACGCTGGCTCTTCAGTTTAGAAATGGAGATGAGCACCAACCCCCAGAATCGGACACGACGGCAGCTTAGCTTCTTATTTGAAGGTTGTGGCAGACAGTACTATAAAGCCTTTCTTGTAAATACTCCCAAGTAGGAGTGTCTTGTCACTTTTCTATGTCCTTATCAAACTACACTATTATAGTGCTATTATTACACTTGCATTGCCATGTCAACATCTTATGCAGGGGTCCGCAAACTTTTTAAATGGAGGGCCAGGTCAGTTCCTCAAACTGTTGGAGGGCCAGATTATAATAAAAAAAAAAACATGAATGAATCCCTATGCACAGTGCACATATCTTATTTGTAGTACAAAAATACTTTAAAACAATACAGTAATTATAAGGAAGAACAATTTTAACAAATATAAATTATTAGTGTTTCAGTGGGAAGTGTGGGCCTGCTTTTGGCTGATGAGATAGGATTGTTGTTGTGTGCTTTCAAGTCATTTCAGACTTTGGTTGACCCTGAGTGAGAGCCGGGTAAATGACCTTGGAGGGCTGTATCTGGCCCCTGGGCCTTAGTTTGGGGACCTCTGATCTTATGGAATCCAGGGATTTGTAGTTTAGGGAGAGGCATTCTGAATTCTATTGGGCCTCATTAAGTTACAGACCCCAGAATTACAGCATATGTTTCCAAGGCAGTTAAAGTGGGCTAATAGTGAAATTACAAAGCTAGTTTAATCTCCTGTGAACTGAATATCAACATTGTCAACAATCATCCGGTGGGAGGTACTGGGCACATCAGAACAGGGCAGGGAATAGACTTTACTCCTGCTTCCAAAGAACACATAGAGAATAAGCCAGCTGGTGCTTCTTATCTACTTTTTATATACAGACTTACTCCAGTGACAACTCATTTATGACAGATTTCATAAGACATGAATCAGCAGTTGTGGGACTGTGGGTTACAGGCTGACAAAAATGAAAAACACCACAAAGCCAAAAAGGGCCATGTGAATTATTGTGAAAACAACAAAAGGGAAGTCTTTCCAGGCCACACATGGCTCCATTCAGTGTAATTAATGCTGGGATGTGTAGTTCAGCAAGGTACTTAGAATTCTCTATTGTGCTCTCTTTATCTGAAGCAATGGAGCCCTTTGGGCAAAGAATGATAAACAAACAAAAATTCAAAATCTACCAGAAATACATTTTGTTGTCCAACAAAAATACACTAAATATATTATGCAAGGATGTCATGAAGTTACACATCCTAGAATTTCATGAGAATGAGCCAAGGCAGTTCAAGTTGCATCAAAACAAGTATAATTGTGAAGTATGGATTCATGCCAAATCTAGATAATATTTTGAAGATGAAAATAAAGGTGAGGGCAGGAAAGGAAAATATTTATTGAATACACAGCCCTTAGTTGCTCACTCTTTTCCAAAAACTTTTACTAACCAAAATATTCTTGGAAGAAACCTGTTCTGGCACGGGAGTGATAGTTGTGGGGAAAATCTTTATTTCTGATGTTGTTTTAAGTTGAATTTTTAATTGTTTGATTCTTTCTCCCTCTTTTAATGTATTTTTAAAATTGCTTTATGGAAGACTTTAGCAGTCTAGTACAACTGCCTGTTGCTTTTCTTGTCCATTCTGGGAAGGGTGAGAGAAACATCTGTGTGCTTATAGATGAAGTTTTGCCTGCTTTTCAAAAAACTTTTAAAATATCTTGCCATTGTATCTGTTACCTTATGACTCTAGAAGATCGCATTATAACATTTGTTGGCTATGATGAATTGATTTTGGAAAACAAAAACACAATTGAAGCTAGTGCAATGGATTGTGGTTATGATTGGTTGAATGAGACCTGGAAATTTATACACATTTTTGTCCTTTTGGGGCTGACCCAATAAAGTCATTACTTCAATATATATATTTTTCAATATGGAGACCTCATCATTTTCATGTGACCTGAACAAGGGCTGTCAGATATTACTTTCAAGTGCATGATGACATCTAGTGCCATTTATGTGTGTAGCAGTCTTGAGTATATAGGTCTTTTTACTGAGCAAAAGTCTTCACTGTGCTTCAAGTGTATGCCTCTGTACCTTTAAGCCACATGATTTTTCTAGGGTTTCCTTAAGCTAGGAACCTTCAAAGGTGGTTTTGCCAGTTCCTTCCTCTGAAATACAGCCTATATCACCTGATACTCATTGGTAGTCTCCCATCTAAGTACTAACCAACTTAGTCTTCAAGTATATCTTAGTAACTGTTGCAGCAACTATACAAATCAGGACAACCATCTGGTGTCAATATTTGATATATCTCTGTTTAAGTGATTGGATTGAGAGATGCCCTTCCAGGTATCAGATGCCTGGATAACCCAACAGACTGCTACTCTTTTTGTCATGCTGAATTTTGAAGAAAAAAAAAGCGACAGGAGGTAATCATTGGTCTTCTTGAATCTAGAACTGGAAGTAGTATTCCTGGTGAGCTTTGATCAGAGCAGAATAGAGAGGCATTAAAACTTCCCTTGACTTGATGCAGACTAAAACTGCATTACTTTTTTTGGCTGCTGCATCAGAAATGTAAAAATAGTGGACACAATGGGTTGTGAGCCCTACCAGTTGCTGCTACCTTGGATTTTTTCTTCCAATGTGAAGATGCCTACCATAGAAATGATGCTGGACTCCCAACTCGTATCAGTTGGGAGTCCAGCCAGCATGACAATAGTCAGAGACAATGAGAATGGTAGCACAACAACATCTGGTCAAACATCTGTTTTGTATTGGGATGGATGATGGCTTGTAGGACATCTTTTGGTTAAAAAGGGGGGACCTTTTTCACAGCTTTCATAGATCAGACTTTCGTCCCAAGTTCACCTAGATGTTTTCTCATGCCACCAAAGGTGGGACAAACCCTCTCCTGACCAAAGCCAATTGGAAACTCCAATTAAGTATTGAGATTATAGCATCTGGCATAGTATCAGCATGGCACCATCACAGGATGGCAAATCACTTCTTTAACTGTTGTTTTCATTTAATCATCCTTGACAAT